TGCTGATACTATTCATCGGTACTTAACAGTAAGTGAAAAAATTAAAAAGGAATTTCAACAAACTTGAGTCTCTCCTCCAATCAATTTAAAGATTTCAAGCAGTGATTGAAATGCTGACATTTGGGCAATCACAAACTTGAATCTAAGTTAGAATTCGAGATTAACTAATTTCAACGGCATACCGGCAGACAGTGGTGTAGCTGCGTTTGTAGGGGCGTTTTGCAGCGGTTTGTAGCGGCGTTTCTTCTTAGCACTTGCCAATTCAATTCAATTCTTTATTGCTATTCCACACACGATGGTAGGGCAAAAAGGTATGAGACAATGGTAAGTATTGTTAAGGTTCCTTAAGAGCATTTTAAGTTTTTTTTATCAGTCTTTTATTTTTAGTATAATACTAGCTGACCCGGCGAACTTTGTTCCGCCTAATGGCAATAAATAAGCAGACTTTTTTTTAATTTCGAACGGGATAAAAAGTATCCTATGTCCTTCTCCTGGCTCTAAACTACCTCCCTGCCAATTTTCAGCTAAATCGGTTCAGCCGTTCTTGAGTTATAAGCGAAGTAACTAACACGACTTTCTTTTATATATATAGATTTGACGGTCTGTAAGCACTATTTAATAGTCTATGCAAATATAGGAATTTTGACTTTCAGCTTCGGCTAATTAAGTATTTTGCTATGCCGGTAACTGTTTCTTAATTAAACATTCAATGAAATTTTCTCAATGTAACACTGAGCAGTTTTTTCAATCCACGGCCCACTGGTTCACCGCTATTTCCATAGCGCGTATTCATATTGATTCCGTTATGTATTCCACTGCACTCTGCAGTTAGTATCTTCACACCTGCACCACGAAAGATTAAGTTATCAGTAGACAGTATAGATAGTGCGATATACAGTTCCGGAAGACACACCCTTTGAGATAAAAATGTCTATGGCTATTGGCTTTCCTAAAGAAATTAGGAGCGTCTGTTGAAAAGGGGCTATTGCTACTTTGGATGATTTTTGGATTTTTTGAATCCGTTTTAGAAGCTCAGTTCCCATCATGCCCTATGTACAAGCTTGACCAAAAATACCTATTTCCTTTTAAAATTGCAGTTCAACAAAGGCTCTTTTCAGAAATTACTGAATGTTATTGACACAGGTAGTAATGTAGTATATACTTTTTCGATTTACTGAGGAAATAGCCCTTTTTGAACAGAAACTCCTTAATATTGACGAAAACAGCACATTTTTAACGAATGTTTAAGTTTTGATGTTAAAGGTCATTTCTGAAAAACAGAAATTATTTGCAAATGTTTTTACAGGTAGAAAGCCGAAGCCAAGTCCTACTTTGTCTCAATGACATCTAGCTGATCTTTGGCTTGCTTTTACTTTGTTTCAGTTTAATAGCTTTGAAATCACCTTTCTCATACAAAGTCTAAGAAACAATGTTTTGACAGCCCATAAAAGGGATGCCAGTAGATTATTATTTTAAAGACTTGCACGTTTTAAGATTTCTTTAATTACTTAAACCTTTGAAACCTACACATTCTGAAGATCTTTAGGTATGGGAATTATTCTTCAGTTGATTGCATCAGTTTTTACATGTAGAGATAGACTCCAAAAATGAGTAATTAAAAAAACTGATTGGATAGACGTAAAATGAGTTTACTGAGAAAAATAATGATTTGCAGTTTGCATTTACAATAATAACAATGTATGAAAGTCACCTATGTAACCACCACAGTTGGTAACCTTGAAAACGCCGTCCATCAAACGAACAGAATATCAAGACAAGCACGTCAAAGGTATGTCTCGTCAAAACACAGTAACAACGACGGAATCAATAAAACCCATCTACATTTGATTTCCAGCGAAGAAACAGCGATCAATAAAAAGTTTCAAGTTCTCCCCAAGGTTCAACAGTTCAACAAACTTCTACAAAGTTGGACTTTCCCGACCGCTAAGTGAAAGACTTCGAGGTCGGAAGTTCACTTTCAGACTTCCACTTTGATATTAAAAACTTTGTGGATAAAAACTTGTTAAAGTTACGAAGTTCTTGGTTGTTACAATTTACATGATATCTATCTAAATAATATAACTCAAAGGTGACTGACTGACTGACTGACATAGTGATCTATCAACGCACAGCCGAAACCACTGGACTGATCGGGCTAAAATTTAGCATGCAGGTAGATGTTATGACGTAGGCATCCGCTAAGAAAGGATTTTACGAAACTCCACCCCTAAGAGGGTAAAACGGGATCCACGCGTACGAAGTCGCGGGCGGCCGCTAGTGTAAGTATAAGCTTCTACCAATGATGTAGTAGTATATTAATTTAAGTCTCTAGTCAGCATAATCCTCTAGACGTTCTTCAAGCGAACAACCATGGTCAAAGTAGAAGCACCATAACGAACTCATCTTAAGAGGTTGTTACAGGTTAGAATTACAGAAACAACAGAGATTTTACAAGTAAAACCATAGGAATTGCAGAGATGAAAATTGTAAGAAATAAATTGCTTACAATTCAAATCAGTGTTTACCAGAGCCGTTTATAATATGCTTAAATCAGCCATATTCTGGGAATTTTCCCCAGATCGGCAATATTCCCGATATTTCTGTCCTGGGAAATGTTTAAAGAAACGCGAACTCATGATGCTCTAACAAGACAAATTAGATGTTAAATGCTTGTCTTTTAAATGTTATGTAAATGTACGTAAGCGACACGGTTAACAATATGACCTCTGCGGCTTGCGAAGGCGAAAGCGAGTTAAAATTTATTATTTTCAGGCGATTTAGCACCAGGGAACAATACTGCTGTACAAATATTATAAGGACGACATAATTGGGGACTTGATGACACTTGGTTTGACGAAGAATGTGTACTTCGCAAAATGAGCACTCAAAATGTACATTTACCAGAGGCAAATGGAGGATATGGCCTACACTCCCCACGCTAGCCAGACGGGTTGGCGTCGTAAGCATGCGAAGTTCACCTTTTGCAAAATGCACATCATGAGAAAGTGCCCCTTGTGAGAAACGGAAGTTTCCCTACATTCTGCGTCAAATCCTTGACGTCAGTCAATTGACTTACTCAATCCAGTGGCAGTCAATCAATGCATTATTATTAATATACGTTTTATCCTACACGCTCTCTTCGATTGACTATAAAAACAATTTAGATAAATGACGTTTGATCAATAAGTATGCAGTCGTCACCCGCATCGAGTTGATTGCTATGAATGAAGTCTTCATCGGGGTTGTTTAAATCCCATCAGTTAATTTTGGGCTGCGCTAGCGCATTTAATGATATGGGAATTAGACAATGGTATGGGGGAGAAGGGTTTCTTGAATATTGTAAGGACACTGGCGCTATTATAAGCCACAATAATGAAGAACAATTGCAGAAGGATAAGTAAATAGAATAATAGAATTAAATTACAAAAAAATTGACAGTATGTGTAATGTTGTAAATATTTAGATTAGTAAACGACAAAAAAAGCAAGTGCAAAGTTGGAAAACGGCTAGACTTGATTTATAATTTGGGTCCAAGAAAAACATAAAGAGAAAAACATTATTAATTTTTCGAAAAAAAAACGTAAAAATAAGTATTTTACTTAGTTCAAACTATTTGATCGTGCCACCTGTAGGGCAAGCAAGCAAATAGATATTTTAAAATATGTTATTATTACGAAAATGCTAAGACCTTTGTAAAGTTGTTAACATGGCTCTTTAAAACTAAACGATATTAGGGATTCCTATAAAAGGTATAATATGATGGTAATCAAATATTCTTCGGACACGGATTTATTTATAGTCACAATAGATCAATCGCTTTTAAATATTCTAATTGAAGTTTCGAGTATTCAGTGGTACATAGCGTGACGTTGATTAGCAATTACTATTTATTTTTAGGTTTGATTTGTCGGTTAATGTCGAAATAAATTACAAAGTGGTGGCAATGATAAAAAGATTCCGTGATTTTGACGAAAGATTACGGTAGATTTTTGTTTCTTTTTTAACTTGACTAGCCATAAAGATCTGAAGCTGAATTATGTAGGTACAGTCAGCGTCATATAGTTCGTGACATCCAAAGTAGTAAAAAAAAAGTAGACAACACAACCGTATTCTATTGTAACAAAGACGTGTTGCGAACTTTTTGGCTACTTTGGGTGTCACGAAGTATTTGATGCTGACTGTACAGATATTTAGTAGGATCTTATGCTGAAAAGTGATTGTGATTAATATCTATTTATTGTCCTGTCCAATAATATTTAATTAGCGTTTTTTGAACCAAGCAAAAAAAGCCACTTTTTATCTGTCAATATTTCGGACAGCTAATTACTTTTAGACTAACGACTTAGGCTGTTAGCAGAGAATAATTAATAGGTATTGTAAAATACAACACCCTTGGAAATATTTAACAGAGTTTCAGCTTGAAATTCGACTTTTTGAAGTTATAAAGTGGAGAGCAATATTAGCTGCTACAAATAATTGCGTTATCTCTTAAGCCCGATGGCTTTTATTGCAAAATCTAGGTTAATACAGGAATCTCATATTGAATCATTTTAATGATTAATTTGACAGCTACTAACCTTGAGTCATGCAAGTCTTATTTACTGTAAAAAATACGATCAAGTTATTTATATTAACTGATGAAATTCAACTCAATCAAACTGACAAACGAATTTAAAACATTCGTGCATAGTTAATGTCGGTGTCGGCCAACGTTGTAATTTTTTAAGTAAATAAAATTCGTTTTCATCTTACACTGGAAAACTACTAATGGTTTAATTTGCGACAGTATTTATAATCTTCAAAGATTCCAAATTATTATAAAAAATCATCCTTCTATAAATGAAGAAGAAAACGTTTCATAAAAATCTAGTTGGAATGAAAACAGTGAAGATTCCTAAACAAAATCAACATGCAAAATACACACTACTCAAAACTAATATGAGGTGCAACTACATAGGTAAATAATGTAATACGTGCAATACATTATGTGCCACATTTACCTCGTCCTTGCTCAAAAACAACTGAAAACAAAACAAGCACAGTTAGATAAGCACGACTAGCAATAATTAAGCCCTTTCATTCAGTATTTTTCGAATTTCAGTAAGTTACTGAAACAGTCAATTTCGTAATCGATTTCCTAAGAATTTTCGTATTTATTTATTTCCTAACCATGCTAATTTTAGCATCGGCGATCAAGAATCAATTAGTTATCGAAGAGTCACGGGACTATTCCTACCGCTGCAACTCCTGTGTAGCCAGGATCTACAGCTTGACCGCCGATAACCCAGGTCCCAGGTAGGGTTGCCAGGCGTCCGAAAGTCGAGCCACCCCGGTCCGGCTTTTAGGGTAAAATGTCCGGCCAAATGAAGCACAAAGTCCGGCTTTTGTGATTTTGGACTGGCCAAATGTTGACACCACAACAAACAAAGAAGTGTAACGTGTTGCGAACTTTTTGGATACTTCGGGTGTCACGAACTATTTGAGGCTGACTGTACTACGTGAAACTAGCTGCGGAAAATTTGATTCGTGTAGGTTCCATCTACAAGTCGCTAAAAAGCCGAGTGATTCCACTATCGATCGAAGGATCGAGTGAGTCACTGAAAGGAAGGAATCATTGATAATCGCCTCTGCTAAAAGTAGCATTCTGTTAATTCACTGTTAATGCAATCTACGTCAGAATACTTGAAGCACGATTCGAAGAAAAGGATACGATTTCCTATGGGAGTATTACGACGGTTATGTAAATGGGAATAAAATATGTCCATTTCAGTGCGTTTTGGGTCAAAGTACGCGACGAAAAAACGCTTCATCTAAGACTGCTTATAAACTTTATTTGTCCTAAGATAAAAGGCTTCGAAAAATGCGGAATTAGGGCATTACACATTAAGACATTAGTGTAGCAGAATTTGGGGCACATCCAGTGCAATCGTCCTAAATACCTAGTCCTATTGAAGAACTATTTCAACTAGAGACTCAATAGTTATGTATCATGCACACATTCACATTACTTTGCAGCTATGGTTAAGAAGTCCTAGCTTTGGTCTATTCTGCTCTATGGTAAGCGACACGTGATGTGGTGGGTTTGAAAATATAGTTCGTTTCATTTAAGATGCGCCCCACCATTCTTCCGCTAATGTTTGAGTGTTATCGGTACACGCAAATTATCCTTGAGTGCACACGCTCAGTACAATAATGACACTCGGATTGCTCGGATCAAACTCCCCGCACACCGCGCTTCCCTCGACCAAAAATTGGTGGGGCGCGTCTTCGTGGATGAAACGATCTAAAGTCACGGNACGCACGTGCCGCGCGCGCGGCAAGTATTTTTCGCGGGTTTGCGATCTACCCACATCACGTGTCAACTAACGAATTATGTTTTGTATCACAAAAATTTACGGCACAACACAGCAACATTGCAAACATCGATAATTCATTAAAAACAAAACAAAATTAGCCTTATTATTCAATCTACAGTTTGCTATCAAGCAACTATAGCCATACAGTTGCCAATAAAATAATGTTTAAGTTATTTCATAGTTCTAATTTCACCTGATACTAATGGCACTATAATGGAAAATAATAGAAATGTTACATAAATAAATAATCACCTTGTTTGCTCAGAAACATGGTAAATATAAAATGGTTGATAGAAATTTTCAAGTTGATTTTTTTTAAATTCCATCAACCATTTCATTTTTGTCTCTATTTTGAATAGTCAAGAATCACTGAGCTAGTGCTATTAAATAATATGATTAGTTAGATGAGAATTTGTTATGCTAGCCAAACTAATATTTTCCTCATTCAATAATGTTACACAGGCTTTATTTAATTTTACCTAGATAGATTGTTTAATAATGATAAGTTATTTCCTTGTTATTTCCCTTTGTGGAGTAACAATTGGAATATAAACATTTTACATCTATTTTCCTATCCATTATGTAGTTAATAAAAGCTTTTTCTGACAAATATGAATTTAATATTAAATACTTTTAGTGTAAAATGAAATTCTTGCAACAACTAAAGAATGGGGATGTTGNCCTATTGGTCTTAGCGTGATGATATATAGCCTAAAGCCTTCAGGAACTAACGGGCTATCCAACACAAAAAGAATTTTTCAAATCGGTCCAGTAGTTCCTGAGATTAGCGCGTTCAACCAAACAAACAAACAAACAAACAAACAAACAAACTCTTCAGCTTTATAATATTAGTATAGATAATGAATTAAATACCTGTTTATGTTTTATTTTTGGAGTTAACTGATATGCTGCCTCCAATTTGGGGTTGCTAGGGGCTTTCTTTGGTCTTGTGTTTTTGATGCCCAATGACATGCCAAAAGGGGCGAACCAGTATCTGAAAAGAAACAATTAATTAATTTATTAAAATTTATTCCTATCATAAAAGTCAAATTTAAAAATTATCAACATAATATTCATACTATCTAACAATTGAGCGCACCTTTGTATTATTTAAGGCAATATTATAACAACATAATTACAGTATTATTATTTTTATTTGTAAGTGGAGCTTTCTCTTTACACATAATGATAATTTTTAATTTTATTATGTAAACTTAATGATAATATCATAACAGTGACTTCCTAGCCCTCTCATATTTATTTAAAGCATAAATTCACTGTCACTGATGTGTAGTAGACCCGAAAAGAATATAAATACGTGCGCTAACACAGTTTTACTACGAATAATAACGGAAAACTGACTCGTGAAGCGGAACCAGCAGAACTAAGCCATTTGCTAACATTTTGCTAACTGAAAAATGCACCACTTACTTGTTCAGAGCATAACGAAGGGCTATGAGTACAAATGCCAACGGTATGGGATACAGCAGATCCCAATGGTAAGTATAAGACACAGCCTTATCAGGTCCTGGAGTAAGGTCTTCCCAAGTGGTGTTCGGCGGCAACCACACATCTTCGTTCCAGAATTTATCCAGAAAAGATCGCAACATTATTAACACTTAAACTTCTGTGAATCTCTTCACGATATTACAGCCACATTGAATACTATCACGCGATGAACACACCCAAGATTTTTAACGATCACAAACATCCAACTGCAATCCGCAGCCCGCACCCAGTGTTGTTCCTGACAAATTTAGGGTTGCCGTATTCTAATTCTAAAATTGCCGGATTTTTAAGGAAAACTAAGAAAATTGCCGTATTGTATAAAATGTTTATTTGGAAGGTTTAAATTTAAAAAAATACAAGTATTATGTACTATGCGTATACTACTTTTAAACTTACTTATTTTATTCTTCACTTTTTAAGGTTTTGAATAATTTAGTCCAAGAATCTACCCGAATAAAAGTGAAGAATCTACCAAAATGAGGAAATAACGATTTTAGACATTAAAATCTCGGAGATAAGGTTGCATTTTTGGCGTTCCTTTTCGTGGCGCTTCTACTTCATCTATGGTTTACAAGTTTTTGCGTTCCATTAGACGAAATATTTATTTTTTGTTTACTAAAACACATGAAAAACTCATAAAACTCTACTTTACTCAATTGCCGTATATTTTGATACGGTAATGAAAGTGCTGCCGTATACCGTATTTATGGTGCCTAAGATGCCTGAATGCCGTATATTACGGCAATTGCCGTATCAAGAACAACACTGCCCGCACCAAACTCGACAACNTCGACAATGAAAATTTGACAAGTATGACAAGTGATAAAAAAACAAGCTAAAAAAAGAATGAATGAAGTAGTAAGCCAAGCGAATGATAGACCGATTATTATTTTAACGATCGGTGCTCAATCTCCAGATTAGTGTTGCCAGTAAAAGATTCATTAATTTTACCGAGAATACCAATTTTTATTATTGTGTCATTCGTTCATCATTCATTCAATAAGATATCTATCTCACGAAAAGAAAGAGATAAAAGATAACCTAAAAAGTAACTGTCAATAAAACAGCACAGGATTTTTTTCATTATTATTTACGTTTTTAAACGCACAAATGGGTACAATGTGAAAAGTTTTGATCACTCGACAACCACAGACACTTGAAACAATTGTGTTCTTCTAGTGAAAATTATGTTGTTCTGTCCTACTTGTTCTAATATATTGATGGTGGAGGAAGCCCCTGAGTCTGGGCTTAGATACGCCTGCAACACGTGTCCCTATGTTTACAACATCAGGAGGAAAGTTTCATCACGCACTTTCCCGAAATTGAAGGTAAAATTAGTCACAACATATTTTTTATGGTATTTTTTTACTTTTTGCTAACCAAAACCCTTTAAAATTGCAGGAACTTGACTATATTATGGGTGGCGCTGCTGCCTGGGAAAACGTCGACTCTACCGATGCTGTTTGCCCTAAATGCGCACACGGGAAGGCATTCTTCATGCAGCTTCAGACTCGTTCAGCAGACGAGCCTATGACTACATTCTACCGTTGCTGCAACCACAAGTGTGCCCACAACTGGCGTGATTAACAATTAAAACTTTACATTATAGTGTTTGAATGGACAAGTGACTTAGCATGAGTTATCTTAAAAAACTAAAGTATTATTGTAGTTCCGTAATTAGATACCAAAGTGCCTCTACAAAGATGAAAATTGAAAAAATGGCTCCTCTCATGCCCTGCTCAGATTCATCTGCAGTCTCCAAGGCTGCAGAGATGTTGGTCAATGGACATGTGATAGCAGTCCCCACAGACACCATTTATGGCTTAGCGTGTAGTGCCAACTGCCCTGAAGCTATAAAGAAATTGTATAACATTAAAGGCAGAGATTCAGCGAAACCTGTTGCTATATGTGTGACATATGTAACGGATGTACGCAAATGGGGGGAAGCTGAACACCTGAGTGACGATTTACTCAACAGTCTCCTGCCAGGTCCGGTCACAGTTGTTTTACAAAAAACAAAGTATTTAAACAATCCATTCCTAAACCCTGCTACAGCCAAAATTGGAATCAGGATACCAGATCATAACTTCATAAATAAAGTGACAAAATTATTTGATTTGCCAGTTGCTCTTACTAGTGCCAACTTCAGCAATGAACCTTCAACATTGTCCGTGAAAGAATTCGAACACTTGTACGGTCACCTCGGGGCTGTATTTGACGGAGGAGTACTAAGCCAAGGATTGGATCAAAACAGAACAGGCTCTACAGTTGTGGATTTGTCCAAAATTGGTTTATATAAGATAATAAGAAAAGGGATTTCTTATGAAAAAATTGTCACCATTTTAGAAGATAATGGATTGAAAAATGTTGAACATTTGTCACCATTTTAGAAGATAATGGATTGAAAAATGTTGAACATTAATTTATTTTATTGACTCCTGTGATAGCTTGTTAAGTTAGAAAATAAATAACTAAAGTTATGGGTTTGTTTTAATTAAAATCAACCTTATCAGTTCAACAAAACTTTATTCGTAAATTCACAACAGTAACTATCATTTGAACCTTATAAATTATAATTTTGTAAAAATGTTTACTATTTTTGATTTTATTTTCTAATTATTTTGGCAAGTCATAAGCACAAGCCTATTCCATTTTTAATTAACTAATTGATAAGTACGAAAGGAACTTATTCATCACAAAACAAGTTGAACATTAGACTAGTAAGAGAGATCCCTACAGATTATCAGAATCATTTTCAACATGGGAGTGATGGGATTCAGCATCAATAGTTTATACTATCAAAGTATCAACATCTAAAATGCAAGCAGTGAAAAGAAATAATGAATTAAATATTAGCTAGTGAAGTCACAATAAATAATTATTAAAATTAGTCCCTCTTAACCCTCCATAAGCAACCAGCACATCACTATTACTAACACTTGTGCCTTTAAAACTTTGTACTAATATGAGCCACTAATAGGTTTTCTGTTCTCCGGCAGCTTGGCTTCTAGATTCTGCCATCTTTGTGGCGGCCAAACTATACACACAGCTTTGGCATTAATTAAACCTAAAGAAACTGGCCCAAATGTGTTGCTGTCCAGTGTGTGACCAGTGTGGTCGCCTTCCACCCAACAATGACCCTCCGGAACCTTCACATACTGGTTCTTGTAGCCCAACGTACTCACGATGTCCCCCTGCAAAGCGACGACGCGCTTTATAATCTTCTGGTTGGGATCTTTGGGAGATACGAGGGATATTATGTCACCGCGTTTCACCTCATAATCTTTCACTGCCCACCGCGACAGGAACACGTAATCGGTGTTTTTCGACTCTGGATTCAAGGCGGGCTGCATGGAGATGCCCTCGACCCTCGCCACATAACCTACGGTGTCTAGGAAGGTCACGCCGATGGGAACACCGAACAACACGGATCTGCAAAGACTTTTTAGCCACATGAAGATGCTGGCACGAAACTTGGTGGACGTGAAGATTGCCGGACATAGTCAGGGGGTTAGGAAGATGACCTTTTAATTCATTTTAAGAATACTGATATATTTGCTGAGGTAGAGCGGATTTTTGAGTGTTTTTCAAAGATTCTTCAATTTCGCTTTCATTTTGACATTGACAGTGAAATGGCATAGTCAAATTTTGAGTGAATGAATGACCGATGAAGGCCATAAACAAAATTGGGATTGTCAAAAATTATTTAACCCTTCTAATGATCTATGAGATTCAATGAGATTTTATGAAATTGGGAAATAAATTTCGAAAATTTATTTTCAAATCACATCATTTTCACAAAGATTTTTTTAATTGAAAAATAAATTGATTTATTTCACAGAAATTCACCAAAAATGTAGAAATTTACATTTGCGTGCGTATAGTTCCAAAATACTGGACTGTCCTGTCGATGACATTGACAGTGGGGCGCCACCGTCAATACCGGATCGCTGGTTCAGATTTTAGTCATGTTGGAAACCATATAGTTGAACGATGGTAGCGCCCCCCTGTCATTGAGTTTGGTGGGACAGTTCAGCGTGGTTCATCTATACAACGAGGTCTTTGCTTCACTCTTCAGTCATCACGGCACGTCACAAGTCATTCACAAATGAATGACCATAGAGCAAATCGGTCCTTACAAATACTCAAAAAAGTGTTGATGCTTTCTATAGTAAATTACAACCAACCAAACAGAAATTTTGGACATTTCATTTGTGTAAAACGAGTTTAATATCAATTAAATAAAGCTGATTTAATATTAGTTTCTAATAAACAAGACTCGAAGAGTGCATTGGAAGCGAACATCGACAGATGGAAGTGTCCTTTGGTGTTGAAAAACTTGCAATCTGCATAATCAGCTGTCAGTGAGATAGATCATCTGTCCCTGTAAATATAAAAGCTAAAACAATCATAACACGTTACAGGAAAGTGAGTGTAAATAATGAAGTAAACAATAAGGTTAAAATGTGAGCTCAAACGGGGGCCGACGAGCACGTCTCCGACAGATATGGGATAATAACCTATCAGCGTGCGAGGTGGTTCCAGCGGCCCGCTATGGCTGGGCTCCCGTGAGGGGGTTACACGGATCGGATCACGGCAAAGCTGAAATATGTCCGGCGAGTTTCCTTTCGCGGCGAAAATAGTGAGTCCCGTCAAGTGCAATGAGAAGCCGTGGGATCTGTGGGTCAGTGAGATAGGGCACCTGTCGCCGCGGCGCGATGAGGAGGCGGCGGCGCCGGAGCCCAAGGGCGGCGCGTCGCGGCGTCTGGACGCGGCGCCCTACAAGCCGGCGCGCTACCGCCGCGCGGGCATCAACCGCCTCAAGCGCGACACCATGAGCCTGCACGGACTCTTTCCGCAGATGGACAGCCTCAACGCGGCCGTGTGCCACATGTGCGGAGTGACAGTGAAGTGCAGCGCGGCCTACCGACACCTGCTCGACTCGCACTCCGGCGCCGAGCCCATCCTCCCGCCGCCGCCGCCCGTCACCACAGTCAAAAGCAGAAGTCGGCATAAAAAGGAAGCGCCCCCACCTATCCCCGTTGACCTACATCCAGTCAAGATGGAAACGTCCCCTGTGCACACTGCAACGGCCCCAATTTCGAGGGTGGTGCTCCCCCAACCCGAAATGCAGTACCTGGAGGAGGCGGGGCCATCGTCCGGAGTCACCGGGGAGGTCCAGGTGTGCGTGGAGTCGGGGGAGCTCCCCGTGGTCAGCATACAGGACACTGAAGACCTCCCTCTTGGAGAAAACATCACAGATGACATAATCACAATCATGAAATTCGAGGGCATATCGAGCGCCGACGACATCGCCAATTCGACTGACTGGAAAAACATAATGCAAGACATCAGCAACATGTCCGATATAAACTTCCCCCATACCACCGAGCCTGTGTTACCCCAGGATTTGTATCCGACCGTTCATCCTTCGACATTATCTGCCTACACGATACCAGAGACTGATCTTTCTAATATTCAGTTTGCGAACACCTCACCGATGCTGCCTCCGGTGGTGGAGCCGGTCGTGAGCGCGCCCCCGCCGAAGCCGACGCCGACGACGCCGTCCACGAAGTCGACGTCGCGGTCGAAGACGAGCAAAACGAAGTTCAACCTCCGAGAGTACGACCCGAACAAGCACTGCGGCGTGGTCACCGCCGAGAACCCGAAGCCGTGCACGCGCTCGCTCACGTGCAAGGCGCACGCGCTGTCGCTGCGGCGGACGGTCGAGGGCCGCGCCAAGCCCTTCGACCAGCTGCTGGCCGAGCACCGCGCCTCGCGCGACGCCGCCGCCGCGCCGCCGCCGCCGCCGCCCGTGCTCCACCCGCCGCCGCCGCCGCTCCTCGTCAGCGCGCCCATCGACCTCGGCTTCAACGGCTTCACGGAGCAGCAGCAGGTCGAGCACATCTACGAGAGCCTGCTGGCCGACCCCACGGCGGCGCTGCCCGACACCACCGGCATCACGTCGCTGCTCAGCCAGCCGCTGCCGGACCAGTTCCTGATGCCGGACGACGCGGAGTTGCCGGCGGAGATGCCGGCGCCGGTGCCGGCCGCGTCGCCGGAGCCGCCGCCGGACGAGGCGCCGCCGCCGCTGGTGCCGGGCGACGTGTGCTGGTACGCGGCGTGCCCGCGGCCGCTGGCGCTGTGCACGTTCAACGCGTCGCACGCGGGCGGCGCCGTCACGCTTGGCAAGAAGTTCGCGACCGTCCGCAGCAACATCAAGTCCTCGCTGTCCCGCTCGTGCAAGGCGCCCGCGTCGAACAGCTACTACTATAACCAGAACGCGTTGTCTCTAAAAACCGTGCACATGAACGCTAGTAAAACGAACAAGCCCGAAGTGAGAAAACTTATAGTGACGTGTAGTAACGGTGGGGGTAAGGTGCAACAGGCGCTGAGCGAACTGTTCGGGCCCGAGGTGCGGCACGCGCTGAACGGCCACGCGGGACTAGGGGAGCGCCGAAGGGCGAAGGCCCGGCGAGCGCCCGCGCCCGTTCTCGATCTCGGCTTTTCCCTCGACGTCCTCGCCGACGAGAAGTGCTGAGCAATAAGCAATCACCGGTTGTGTAGTCACATAATTTGTATATTTATTTTTCTGTAAAGAATCGAATCGGACGTTGGATGTGATCGAATGAATCCCGTGGAATTTAATGTTATAAAATCTCATTTTTTTTCACCGAAGCGAACTAATGTTTGTATTGTTTTGTATATTATTCGTAAGATTTTTTTTAAAATCGTTCGACGATGCGAAAATCGGTACGTGTCAAGGAAATTAAAATAGCTTATACAGAATGGTTGTATTTTTTCGAAATGACATATTACTCATTGTTGATACTGAATTGAATACTGATAAATGGCCTAGGATTAATAATGATTTAATGTGATGAAAATTTCCATGTAAAAATATAAATAAATATATATAATAAGTCTATCCGTAATAGTAAAACGCCTCCTTTTGAAAATAAAGGCAAATACCTCAATAACTAAGTGCTTGTTTCAATTATTCACAACCTCAGAATTTCGAGTTGTTATTAAAAGTTACTTCTAAAACTTCTAAAAGTTCATTCAGTATAGCAATCAATAGTCTATTAATTCAATTCAACTGTTATTTTATTAGTGGTAATTTTTGTTTTTCTTGAAACATGTTAAAAATCTATAAATTGTCATATCAATATCTTTTGTTTATTTTCAGAATTCACTCACATGATGGGGACTGGGGTTGGTTGTTATGGTCCTTCTAAAAGGGCGATTTGTTCAACTCTACCTATTTTTGTTTCAGTCCAAGCTGTCCACTGCTGGACAAAGGCCACCACGGATTTCCACACGACTGGTCCTTCGCTGCCCGCATCCAGGTTCTTCCCAGGACCTTCACCTGATCGTTACCTATTTTATTAGCGACGTAATTTTGCTATGACTGAATCTGTATCAGCTAGTCTTTGTGCCCTTCTTGATATCGAGTTAAGGCGACGCGCATACGATGATATTTTTGTATCCGACATGGTACATCATCACAGGAAACCAGTGGCTGGGTTCGGTATCGCCAATCGCTTCGCTTCGTCGCTTATTGTTGCAGTCGACAGTTTTTGTCAGACTGGTCAAACTCTATTAGGCCACGAACTGGCGCTCATAATGCACTCGACTCGGAATCTCTTGTATGTACAGTCAGCGTCAAACAGTTCGTGACACCCAAAGTAGCCAATAAGTTCGTAAAACGTGTTTGTTACATTGAAATAAGGTTGTGTTGTCAACTTTTTGCCCACTTTGAGTGCACGAACTATTTGACGGTGACTGTACTGTATCACTGTGAATTCTGTATCACCTAATTGGTCTTTCTCGACAGTGGACTGGGCATATTGTAGAGGTGATGTTTGCTTCCAGCTTTTTCCTAGCTTTTATCTCCCGTAAGAAAAAATCAGATATAGGTAAACTTGTAGTCCACCACAAGACGCAAAAGCGTCTACATTTGTCAAGCGCCCACGTAGTGGAAAAACAAGTTTAGTAGAAGTTTTTAGTAGCAGTAGCAGTCTACAAATTCTTCCAACCATCATACCACATTCCTGTGTCCTCCTAACTGACAGGGCTTGTAAACCTAAATAAATGCATTATCATCACAAGGTGGCCCGACGACCTCTTAAGATAGCAGAAAGGCGCTGGATGCAGGCCGCCACCAACAACCGGCCATTGGGGGAGGCCTATGTTCAGCAGTGGACGTCCTATGGCTGAAATGATTATTTCATATCACGTAGGTAACGTACTAGAAACATCTTGTATGAATATGTTCGTCCTAGTCGCGGGAATCGAACCCGCAACCACAGCTTGCGTTGTAGATTGATCCGCGAGCCAACAAGCTATTAGCAGCCGTGAAATTTTGATATTTTTAGAGATGATCAAGAGTACCTTTACGATATTTTTATACCACATTCCATTGACCCTACTGTCCTGTATACTACCTATCTGTGGCCTACTTTTCAGGCTATTAAAACGAAAGTTATTTTATGACAAAGTTAGAGTTTTCTTTTTAAAGTATTTAAGTTTCAGAGATGGTTTAACGTAACCTGCATTGTTTCAATGCTTAATATTTACGTTGCTTAGATTAACATTCATCGGCAGTCGAATCCCAAACCTTGCATCGTTCGTATCGTTGATCGTTCGATGAAACGTGTTCGATATTTTGATTTTCGATCATTTGTAATTCGATATGGTGTAGGTAACCCGTACAATTCTGTACCTATTTCTTCAAGTAGGTACTTACCTAGGTTACTCATTATAACTAACATTTCCTCAATTAAGTAAGTAAAGACTTAAAACCGGCGCAGTACATCTTGTAACTATTGTTTAGGGTACAGATGGTTTAATTTATTTTATACATGTATCAAGTAACTAACATATTCATTAAAATTGTCTTTATAAGACCTAATTTCAATAAAGTACCGACATCAAGTCCCTTTCGGCATGTACAGAAGGCAGTTTATATTTGAAAATGTGCTTACTCCTACTGATCTCTCTAAGTACCTACTTAATAGTTTTCTACTAAGAAACGCGCACGATCACAACTGGTAACTCGTCCGGTGTGGATCCGGATTCCGGCTTAAATATTGACGAAATGCTGTCTAATGATCTTATTTTTGTTTGATTTTTCCTTATCAACTTTCTATGTCTACGATCATGACTTGATCCTTTTCAATTTTAAATTTGTTTTTAGTTATAAGAAACTTTAGTACTGAAATAATTATTTATTTATATTATAATTTTCAAGATTTTACCTACTTTCCGGGTTCAGTTGAAGAGACCTGACAGAGAAGATTGTTAAACTATTGGACATCACAAAAGAAAATAAAGAAATCCACAAGATATGGCACAATTTAGGCAGTATTATCGCTATGAAGCGATCTTTTCCAGACAATCCAGACACAAACCTAGAGGACAGTTAATTCCTTATGTATTACATCTGTATATTTTTATTTAAAGTAATCTTGACGAATATTGTTTGATTTCTCATCGAGAGGTATCGAGGAACCATAAAATGAGCGAAGTTCGTAAGACTTCTTTTTTCTGCGGAAATCTAAAACAACGGATATAGCGGTCTTCCTGTTTCTATTTTTATACTTTTCGAAGTTTATGTCATCGCAGCGGATTCGGTGTGTTTTTGCCAGTGTTACTCATTATTTTTTAAGGTTCTGTTGTATCTCTAGATCATTCCGTAGATTTATTTGTCTTTCTGGCTATTTTTCAAAGTCAAAGTTCTTTAGGAAATTTGAATTTTTTAGCACTAATTTTAACCCATCATTAGCAAATTAAGTAAGGTCGTTTTCTCGTTTTTCAAGTTCATTAAAAAAGTTGTAAGTTTTTAGCATTAATTGACCCACCATTAGCAAATTAAGTAAGTCGTTTTTCTTGTGCAAGCAAGTGTAGGTTAATACAATAAGTGAAAGCTCAAGGAACTCATTTTATTTTGTCTTTTTGTTTTAATCTATCTAAGTTTACAAGCTCTTCGCCGATGCATATCTCTACATGAGTAGTATAGGTCATAGGTAGGTACTACTAGATAAGGTGCATCTAATATCCGTGGCCGCCAGGGTCCCCTCTTCTGCAATGAATCAATTGGATGTCCCATCTTGAGTGAAGCACCAATTAGGGTTCCGTTTATCAGCTAAGGCTCCCCGCAGACCACAGACTTTGTCGACCGATAGTTTAGTCAGGCTGAGTCAGTATGAATATGTATGAAAGTGCGCACATTACACGATTCGGTATCGGCCGATTTCCTCATACAAATTGGAAGGAGACAAAACTATCGGCCAATAAAGTCTGTCTAGACACACGGCACCCCTATATTTGTAGATTCTCGTATAATTTGTCTTTGAACCAGACTTTACCAACTCAATTTGTGTCTTATGACGATTCGAAATGGGGAACATTATAGCTTGAGAGAAATCTTGCCTCAAGGAGAAATTATACTTGCATGCACCTATGGCGCAAGGTCGTCTGAATACCTGTCTTTCAATTATAAATTATTTATAAAATATTTTACAATAATGCATGATATATCAGGTGAATAAGAAATTACATTCTATTTTTTAAGATACAGAACTGCATAAGCGTAGAGTCATTTTTAAATGTTCACACTAGGACAATATGCAAATCCTTCATTCGTGGGGAATATGCCAAGTCCTCCATTTGTCTCTGGTAAATTAGCGACGGACAGCTTTTGCAATGGAGACTGAAGGATCTATGGTATAAAAGTATTGTTATCTAGAGATAGTATGAAAATATTCTGAATACTAAAAGATTAGGGACCCCACACAAGTCTTTCGTCGTCGTCTCGCCAGCCAGCGCCTACGCATCGTCGACGCGGCGCACCAATTCTCTTTAAACTCGCCCGTATTCACAAACATTACTATGAGGTCTCACAGTGCGCGTGGTGGACGCACAGGGTGACACACAAACCAATCACAGAGCTCTATTCAACGCTGTGCGTTCGATTTTCTGCTCGACTTAGGCATCGTTTGTGAATGCGGGCTTAAATGACTGGCGTAGTAGCGTCGAATATTCAACTAACGACAAATTACGACGACGCTAGTGTGAAGGATGCCTTAGTTAGACCTTAGAACAAAAGAAAATTTTTATAATAAAGGACTAAACAAATGAAATACGAATGTTGACAAATTATAATAGATTTATTTATTATAACTTTAAGTCACAGTCAATCAGATAATAATCTAGAATCTCCAGACTATTTTGTATTATTTCGATAAGCATTTATAGCATCACTGCTTGTTTAATCCCGTATAATCACTGGGCTAAGGACAAATGTCTCTAAAAATGTAGGATTGAACCTAAGTAATATAATGTTACCTGTTACTTTGTATAAGTTTTTGTTTTTACTATTATTGGTTAAAAAGTAATTTACTTTATTTTATTTAAGCAGATTCTAATACTTTTGAATATTGCAAAGCAATAATCACTCGGAAGACTATTAAAGTGTGAAAATATGTTTCATTTCATTGAAAATTAAAAGCAAACTAGAATAATAATTAACTAAACAACTCTTAAGCTCTAAACTTTCTTCTTAGACTTTATTTTGTTGCCAGCCTTTGTTTTAGCCTTGACTATTCCTTTGAACTGTTTCGTTGTTACTGCCTTTTTCCTGTAAATAAAAAGATTTTATAAAACAGTTATACGGGTAAAGAGAGGTTGGTTATGTATAATTAACAACCGAATTGAGATGAGAACCTGCTAGAAGAAAAGAGTAGGTCCTCCTTTTCGAAGTCTGTTAAAAATGTAATCATTACTTCGATCCTATGATGCGCAAGCGCAGCTTACACTAGGGCAAATATCTTTTTTTTAATTGGGAAAATGTTTTATGCCCAGCGAAAGCTAAACATATCGCCTTTAAAATATACTACACCACCTAATAATACGTAGATGCAGCATTCGGGCAAATTGTAATATAGTGGTGCTCACAATAGATCGAAACTGGTAAAGCCTGGTCCATGAGCACGTAGAATCCCGTCCAATGACCCCAAGCTACCCATCCCTATCGCTCGCGCGTAATTATGTTGCTGCCGCGACTGTACGACGGACGCCCGCAGTGAGTGTGCGAGCGCGACGGGATTCTACGTTCTCACGGACCAGGCTTTAGCAGGACTCTATTATACTACTAGACAGCCTCTCAGCTACAAAAAAAACTATGTTTCACGACTTAATATCCATGGGCTAGATGTCACATGTCAGACACACACGAATCGATTACTAAACTCGATGGACCGACAGGTCGCGACGCGGCAGCTGTAAGTGACACTGGCAACCTGGATGAACAAAGCGGGAAATGGTGTTATTTAACTTATTTACCTCTTATTCAAATTCTTCCTGGACAGCGGTAGATACGCGTACGGGTCGTGCTTGCCTTTCTTCTTGATGTCGCCTTTCGCCTTCTTAGACTTGTACTCTGTGCCCACTGTGGACGCCACTGATGCGGCTGACCCGAGAGGCCTGTAGGGAAAAATAGTATTTAACACCAAACATACTTGAAAAACAAGTTCATAGTACTAATTTATTGTTGCGACAAATGCTGTGAAGCTTTAATATTACGAACAATTCTGAAACGTCAAGTGGCAAAAATCGGAACTTATTAGGTACTAGCGGCCGCCCACGACTTCGTACGCGTGGATCCCGTTTTACCCCCTTCATCTATCTTACGCGGTTTAGATTTTTTCATACAAATGTTTTTTCCCGCTAACTCCCGTTTCCGTGGGAATTTTGCAATATCCTGTTGTAACTAAGCTTTAAGTTTACTAAGGTACCTGCATGCCAAATTTCAAGCGTCTAACTTAAGCGGTTAAGATTTTTCATACAAAAGGATTTTCCCGCTAATTCCTGTTCCCGTGGGAATTCCTAAGTATACTATAACCTGCCCAGGAGTATGAAGAATAATTGTACCAAGTTTCGTTAAAATCCGTCGAGTAGTTTTTGTTTCTATAAGGAACATACAGACAGACAGACAGACAAAAATTTTACTGATTGCATTTTTGGCATCAGTATCGATCACTAATCACCCCCTGATAGTTATTTTGAAAATATATTTCATGTACAGAATTGACCTCTCTACAGATTTATTATAAGTATAGATGGGTTATTACCCAGTATTGATAGTAGTGCCCTCCTGTAAACGTCATGTATGGGACACTTCAGTGTTGTCCAACTATTATACATAGTGCAAGTGTAATCTATCACAGCTCTGTTACGTCACATGTCACCCCTCCCACCACTACTAACCTCGTCTCTAGTGAAGAAGGAACCAGCATATTCAACTTAATACGATACGATATCCGTCAAGCAAGAACTTTATTCTATGCATGTCAAACCGGGGCCCCCTAACCTACCCTCCTTAGTCCGTCACTGATGAAAAACACTGACCTGTGAATACCCTTTCCTCCAGCCTTGTATTTAGAAGCCACGGTGACGGTAGACGCCCGACACCTATTGCTTCTACCACTCTTGATGCTGAGAATATCTTCGTAGCGATGATGATGATGATGAAGACACTAACCTGTGGATACCCTTTCCTCCAGCTTTGTATTTAGAAGCCACGGTGACGGTAGACGCCCGACTCCTATTGCTCCTGCCACTCTTGATGCTAAGAATGTCGTAGCGTCTCGCTGATGATGCTATTGGTGATGATGATGATGAAGACACTTACCTGTGAATACCCTTTCCTCCAGCCTTGTATTTAGAAGCCACGGTGACGGTAGACGCGCGACTCCTATTGCTTCTGCCACTCTTGATGCTAAGTATGTCATCATAGCGTCTTGCTGATGATGATGATGATGATGAAGACACTCACCTGTGAATACCCTTTCCTCCAGCTTTGTATTTAGAAGCCACGGTGACGGTAGACGCGCAACTCCTGTTGCTTCTACCACTCTTGATGCCGAGAATATCTTTGTAGCGATGATGATGATGATGATGAAGACACTGACCTGTGAATACCCTTTCCTCCAGCCTTGTATTTAGAAGCCACGGTGATGGTGGACACCTGACTTCTGTTGCTTCTACCACTCTTGATGCTGAGAATGTCGTAGCGTCTCGCTGATGATGCTATTGGTGATGATGATGATGAAGACACTGACCTGTGAATACCCTTTCCTCCAGCCTTGTATTTAGAAGCCACGGTGACGGTGGACGCCCGACTTCTATTGCTTCTGCCACTCTTGATGCTGAGTATGTCATCATAGCGTCTTGCTGATGATGATGATGAAGACACTAACCTGTGGATACCCTTTCCCCCAGCCTTGTATTTAGAAGTCACGGTGACGGTGGACACCCGACTTCTATTGCTCCTGCCACTCTTGATGCTGAGAATATCTTCGTAGCGATGATGATGATGATGAAGACACTCACCTGTGGATGCCCTTTCCTCCAGCCTTGTATTTAGAAGCCACGGTGACGGTAGACGCCCGACTCCTATTGCTTCTACCACTCTTGATGCTGAGAATGTCGTAGCGTCTCGCTGATGATGCTATTGGTGATGATGATGATGAAGACACTGACCTGTGGATACTCTTTCCACCAGCTTTGTATTTAAAAGCCACGGTGACGGTAGACGCCCGACTCCTATTGCTCCTGCCACTCTTGATGCTAAATATGTCATCATAGCGTCTTGCNCAGACTTTGCCAACTCAATTTGTGTCTTATGACGATTCGAAATGGGGAACATTATAGCTTGAGAGAAATCTTGCCTCAAGGAGAAATTATACTTGCATGCACCTATGGCGCAAGGTCGTCTGAATACCTGTCTTTCAATTATAAATTATTTATAAAATATTTTACAATAATGCATGATATATCAGGTGAATAAAAAAGTATTGTTATTTTTTAAGATTCAGAACTGCATAAGCGTAGAGTCATTTTTAAATGTTCACACTAGGACATTATGCAAATCCTTTCACTTGTGGGGAGTGTATGCCAAGATTGCCAAGTCCTCTATTTGTCTCTGATAAATTTGCAATGGAGACTAAAGGATATAAAGTATAAAGGTAATCTAGGTTCACAAACATGAAAATATTTTTGAAGAATTCTTCGTCGTCTCGCCAGCGCCTGCGCATCGTCGACGCGGCGCACCAATTCTCTTTAAACTCGCCCGTATTCACAAACATTACTATGAGGTCTCACAGTGCGCGTGGACGCACAGGGTGTCACACGAACCAATCACAGAGCTCTATTCAACGCTGTGCGTTCGATTTTCTGCTTCACTTAAGCAACGTTTGTGAATACGGGCTTAAATGACTGGCGTAGTAGCGTCGAATATGCAACTAACGACAAATTACGACGACTAGTGTGAAGGATGCCTTAGAAACAAAAGAAAAATTATATTACATATTCAGGATTAAACAAATGAAATACGAATGTGGACAAATTATGATAGATTTATTTATTATAACTTTAAGTCACAGTCAATAAAATATAATCTAGAAATCTCCAAACTATTTTGTATTATTTCGATTAGCATTTATAGCATCACTGCTTGTTTAAGCCCTTATAATCACTGGGCTAGGGACAAACGTCTCTAAAAATGTAGGATTGAACCTAAGTAATATAATGTTACCTATTATTTTGTGTAAGTTTTTTTTACTGTCGCGATGTCGGTCGAAAAGTAATTTAAAATATGTTAAACTTTTGAATATTGCAAAGCAAATTAAGCAATAATCACTCGGTAGACTATTAAAGTGTGAAAAAATGTTTAATTTCATTGAAAATTAAAAACAAACTAGATCAATAATTAACTAAACAACTCGTAAGCTCTACACTTTCTTCTTAGACTTTATTTTGTTGCCAGCCTTTGTTTTAGCCTTGACTATTCCTTTGAACTGTTTCGTTGTTACTGCCTTTTTCCTGTAAATAAAAAGATTTTATAAAACAGTTATACGGGTAAAGAGAGGTTGGTTATGTTATTATTAATCAAAATAAAATATTAGGTTATTAACAACCGAATTGAGATGAGAACCTGCTAGAAGAAAAGAGTAGGTCCTCCTTTTCGAAGTCTGTTAAAAATGCAATCATTACTTCGATCCTATGATGCGCAAGCGCAGCTTACACTAGGGCAAATATCTTTTTTTTAATTGGGAAAATGTTTTATGCCCAGCGAAAGCTAAACATATCGCCTTTAAAATATACTATACCACCTAATAATATGTAGATGCAGCATTCGGGCAAATTGTAATATAGTGGTGCTCACAATAGATCGAAACTGGTAAAGCCTGGTCCGTGAGCACGTAGAATCCCGTCCAATGACCCCAAGCTACCCATCCCTATCGCTCGCGCGTAATTATATTGCTGCCGCGACTGTACGACGGACGCCCGCAGTGAGTGTGCGAGCGCGACGGGATTCTACGTTCTCACGGACCAGGCTTTAGCAGGACTCTATTATACTACTAGACAGCCTCTCAGCTACAAAAAAAACTATGTTTCACGACTTAATATCCATGGGCTAGAGATGTCACATGTCAGACACAAACGAATCGACTACCTAACTCGATGGAATGAAGCGTCGAGACGCCGGCAGCTGTAAGTGACACTGGCAACCTGGATGAACAAAGCGGGAAATGGTATTCTTTAACTTATTTACCTCTTATTCAAATTCTTCCTGGACAGCGGTAGATACGCGTACGGGTCGTGCTTGCCTTTCTTCTTGATGTCGCCTTTCGCCTTCTTAGACTTGTATTCTGTGCCCACTGTGGACGCCACTGATGCGGCTGATCCGAGAGGCCTGTAGGGAAAATTAAAGGATATTTAATACCAAACGTAATCCCACAAATGGCTTTCTTTGCAAAGTTACTTATTCAAAGAAATATCTACTTAATATTGTCAACAATATGGTGTAATTTCGCTCGTCTCAGAGTTGAGCACCGTTTCGTTTAGATTCCGATAAGAATCCATTGCTAAACCTATTCAGTGAACGGCGATAGGAAGCTTAAACATTGAACGAAAGAAGTCGCCCGACTGCATCGTGATTGTATCGCTGCTTTTAGTATCGCGTGTGAGTAAAGGTAGACGTTTTGCGACTGTATCGATGCTGCACCGCGTTTGTATCACTGGAAAGTCGCAATGTAAAAGGGCGCTATGATTGTTGCTTACTAGAAGCTCATAGCAGACTTATCAACTCGGAAAGATTACACCGTATCGCCTTCCGCGCGGTCAATAGCGAGGCGAGGCGTTTACGTTACGGTGCGGATAAGGTGTGCGTTGCAGTATGGAGTTTTATACGAAGAATACTGACCGCCTCGAGTTGATACGGTTCCGTTCCGATCCCTTTCCGGGTTGATAAATGTGCGACGTCCTTTAGCGTTCACTCGTGCTTCTCGCGGTAATTTTCTTAATAAATAGTTATTGAGCGTAATGCTAGATTTGTATGTGATGACCACTGACCTATGAATACCCTTTCCTCCAGCCTTATATTTAGATGCCACAGTGACAGTGGATGCACGACTCCTGTTGCTTCTGCCACTCTTGATGCTGAGAATGTCGTAGCGTCTCGCTGATGATGCTATTGGTGATGATGATGATGAAGACACTGACCTGTGGATACCCTTTCCTCCAGCTTTGTATTTAGAGGCCACGGTGACGGTAGACGCGCGACTCCTGTTGCTTCTACCACTCTTGATACTGAGAATATATTTGTAGAGATGANTCCTCCAGCTTTGTATTTAGAAGCCACGGTGACGGTAGACGCCCGACTCCTATTGCTTCTGCCACTCTTTATGCTGAGAATATCGTCGTAGCGATGATGATGATGATGAAGGCACTGACCTGTGGATACCCTTTCCTTCCACCAGCTTTGTAATTAGAAGCCAGAGTGACGGTAGACGCCCGACTCCTATTGCTCCTGCCCCTCTTTATGCTGAGAATATCGTCGTAGCGATGATGATGATGATGATGAAGAAGAACACTTACCTGTGAATACCCTTTCCACCAGCTTTGTATTTAGAAGCCACGGTGACGGTAGACGCGCGACTCCTATTGCTTCTGCCACTCTTGATGCTGAGAATGTCGTCGTAGCGCCTCTTCGTGCCTGGTTTGACCAGTTTAGAAGGTTTGGAGGGGCCTTCGTCGTCTGTGGAAAAAAAAATAGTCATTATTCAAGGTAGCTGTTACCCACTACCAACTAATCAATTGAAATACTTTTAATTAGCTCTCAAAATGCAAGTCTCATAGATTTTTTTATTGTGAAAGAGGAAACTCGGTTGATTTATGGATTTCATTAACTACATTGTTGATGTTCTGGTACTTCTCGTTTTTTTTAAATATTGATATTTTTAAATGAATCAGAAACTAAAATATATGAATTTGATATGAAAACGATAAGTAATAGCAGGCCTGTTCATCTCCGCGAGTTTACATCGAAAACAAAACACGCACGATTGCCCCCTACAAGAGTACTATTCGACAAGGCCTCACTTACGAGCGAACATTGACTCACGCACGCGTATTCTTGTGTATGATGGAAAAAAAAAAAGAAAATGGTGTACTAAATACTGTGCAGTATTTAACTGCCTAAATAATAATAAAAACACAGAATTTACTTTTTTAAGTTGCCTCAAGACACTGAGAGGTAAATAAGTAGTTAATATTATTCATGATAATTCATGCTAAATCATGTATTTCCTCCGCCATTTTCTGCAGATTGGCACCTCACGTCACATCATTTTACCGAAGTCAGCCCTATAGCTTCGGCGCAGTACCGATCACTGACGTTTGTCAACAAAACTTCTGACAAACTTGCTTGACTCTTGAGACAAGCTAAATTACACCATATTGTTAATGACATTGAGCATACATTTTTTTAAATACCTTCGCGAAGTAAAACTTCTGTACGTAGTACTTATTATTATTCTGTGGTAATAGGTCTTATAACTACATTTGAATTAAAATACTGTTTAATATCCCTTTCCATCTAAGAGATATCTAAATGTGGCAGAAAAAGGATAAAGTTTACAATAACTAAAATGTTTAGAACACTTTAAATAATCTCTTTTTTTTTGTCGAGAAAGTTCCAGAGTGTACTTTTGGCAGAGTGGTCGTGGTTCACACCTAGTTCGGTGGCAAGCTCCGTCGTCATTCCTCCCATATTGCAGCCTTTGCAAGGTTTAGCTTTAACTTTTAACTTTTTTATCTTATCTTATACTCACCAGTATCATCAGTGTCCGTGTCAATATCCCCGCTCGGCTTCAGCTCGTAGTCGTCATCGTCGCCGGAGCCGTCATCGGCGATGATGAGCCGTCCGTCCGGAGCAGTCTTGAAGCCGCCATCTTTCTTCTTCTGTTTCAGTTCTGTTTCTTTCTTCTTTATCGCTGGGNCGAAGCCACGGTGACGGTGGACACCCGACTTCTGTTGCTTCTACCACTCTTGATGCTGAGAATGTCGTGGCGATGATGATGATGATGAACACTGACCTATGAATACCCTTTCCTCCAGCCTTATATTTAGATGCCACAGTGACAGTGGATGCACGACTCCTGTTGCTTCTGCCACTCTTGATGCTAAGAATGTCGTCGTAGCGCCTCTTCATGCCTGGTTTGACCAGTTTAGAAGGTTTGGAGGGGCCTTCGTCGTCTGGAAGAATAAATATGTATGAAAGAGTAACTTAAATCTTTAAAAGACTGAAATGAGAGATTATAGGGATATAGGAGTGCTATTTGTACTTTGAATATACTACTAGCGCCATCTAACAAATAATTTTGCTTGTCTTTTATAAAGGGATAGTAAATTATTCCAACTGTTTACGAACGAACCTAACTTTAAACCAAGCACATCTTGTTATAGCCATAAAATAAAAAGATTCACGTCTGATAAGACCCTGTTTGTGTCTTTGTATACAGGGTGAGTCTAGATAAAGTGCACCTATGAAAATAGGTGAAACGACCTATTTTTTTCGAAGAAAAGATCTGAGATTTTTTAAAAAAATTATAAATTTTTTTATCTTTCAATTACTGATTCTAAAGAAAACGTTAAAACTTTTAAACTAAGAGGTAACTATATCCTGATGAAATAAAAACAGTAATAATGCTAAATAGCAGGTGATAAGCACACTCACCAGTGTCATCAGTGTCCGTGTCAATATCCCCGCTCGGCTTCGGCTCGTAATCGTCATCATCGCCGGAGCCGTCATCGGCGATGATGAGCCGTCCGTCCGGAGCCGTCTTGAAGCCGCCATCTTTCTTCTTCTGTTTCAGTTCGGTTTCTTTCTTCTTTATCGCTGGANTCGCTGGGTCCGTTGCTGAAGAGAAAAAAATAGGTGTTTTAGTATTTCATCTATACCAGTGGTTCCCAAAGTTGTCTGGGCTACGGCTCATCTAATACAAGTTCCCAAACTCGGGACCCACCTATAGGAAATTTCGCCCGCTGTCCAGCGGTTAGATCGGTAGGGTGGTGTGTCGTTCTACAGGCAGGGCCCACTCAATGTTCGCTCGCGACCCACCACTGGGACGCGATCCATAGTTTGGGAAACCCTGATCTTATACTATTTAACTTTTAGACAATAAATCAAAGTGGAATTATTCAAGAGATAAGCTAAATTAGATTAGCTTGCATATTTCCATAGTTGTGTGCTAACTGCAAACTATACAAACACTATGGGAAACTGCGTTAATAGCTAATTTAAGCGAGCTAAGTTAAACTAAATTCTGCAACAAGCTTTAAAAATGACTAACGCCCGTATTCACAAACGATGCTTGCTTAAGTGAAGCAAAAAATCGAACGCACGGCGTTGAGTAGAGCTCTGTGATTGGTCCGTGTGTCACCCTGTGCGTCCACACGCACTGTGAGAGCTCATAGTTTGTGAATACTGTTAGTATTTCAGAGCTGTTAAAATTTTAGTGCTAGAAGTGCAAAATCCTTTCTATTGTAAAATTCTATCTCTTTATAGTACCAATTGTTATTTGCTATAGCTAAAACTCAAGGGGAAAGGGGGATATCATCGAACAATTTTTTAAGTTGAAAACATCAAAATTTTCTTGAAACTGGCTATAATAATATGTGCAAATAGTACGAAGCCTTAAGAGTAGGCGCACACCGTTGATTTTTCGTCGGTCGATAGTTTAGTCGGGCAGTTGATCAGTATGGGCATGTATGGGAGTGCGCACACTACGCCGATTCGATTTGGCCGATTCTTCATACAATTTAAAATCGGGCACAAATATCGGCCAACTAAAAATCAACGGTGTGCGCCTACTCTAAGTAAAGAGAAAAAAAGAGCATAATTATTATTACCAGTGATCTTCCTAGCAGCAGACACATCAGCCAAATCCACAATATTCTCCGGGTCGTCCTGGATCCAGGCCTGGTTGCTCTTCTTGCCCTTGGCCTTGGCTTTGGGCCGTGGCCTGCGGTCCTGCTCCTCATCCTCGTCCAGGAACTCCATTTCCGAGTCGGAATCCTTGAGGATGTCCTCGAGGGTCTTGGATGTGCCCTTTATTTCCATGTCTGTGTCGTTGTCCGATTGGTCTCTGTAAGAATACATTGTGGAGGAAGTTTAGATAAATTGTGTGGGTAAAAATTATTAAAATAAATTACTGTTAAAACTTAAAATGAGTTCATGAGTTGGCGTATGTTATACCTGGTCCGTGAGCACGTAGAAATTTGTCCAATGACCCCAAGCTACCCATCTTTATCGCTCGCGCGTAATTATATTGTTGTCGCGACTGTGCGACGGGCGCCCGCAGTGAGTGTGCGAGCGCGACAGCAACATAATTACGCGCGAGCGATAAGGATGGGTAGCTTGGGGTCATTGGACAAAATTCTACGTGCTCACGGACCAGGCTTTAGTTTGTGCTTGCGAAGATTTCTGAATATCATAGAATCATGTGTCTAGAAAGTTTAGAACGTGGCTTTAGAATTCTGAAATACCTACTTTACTATTTCTTGCCAAAATGAAATTAAAAAGATATGTCTTGACGTGACTCGAGTTATTGACATCTTTGTAATTATAGAAACAGAGAGAGAATATAGTGCAGGATTAGATTTTAAGTATTTTTGAATCTTTTTCCAAGCTACGAAAAAAAATTTTTTTTAAAATCCACAACGAGGAAGGGAAGCTCTTGGCCTGTATCTCACCTGATGGTATTTATAGGTTTGGCCTGAAAACGAACACTCAGACAAAGTTACTTCTGCATGTATTAGTCATTGTTTCAAACTTGTTTTTTTTTTCTTTGAAAAGTAAAACCGAAGCAGCTTTCTGAGGGCAATAAAATCATCACCACAAACCTCTGATTCTCCTTCATCCTCTTCTTCCTATTGTCCATCTTCCGTATATTCCTTAGCCTCCTCAAGAACACGTCATCAGTCGGCGGGATCAGCTTCTCAATAGTATCAGCTCCGTACTTCCTCATCATGCGAGTGAGGAAGTACCCGATTTCCAAGCGGGAGTGACGCTTGCAGTCTTCCGACATTGAGGAGAGGGTCTTGAAGATGAGGGGCAAGCTGCCTGCTAACACGTCGGTTGGGAGGACTTTGGTGTATACCTGGTGGAGGAAGTTAGGGGATGGTTTTTAATTTAAAGGCCAAGATTGGTGAGGAATGCTTCTATCCTCCTCAATTGTCGAGCGGTTCCTCACCAATGGGTGAGGAAATCCCACCGCGCCGCTCGACTATTGTGGTGAGCCCACTCGTAACACAAGCTCATTTAGCTTAACACGAGGGGCTAACGGGACTATTAGCAAACGGGACTATTAGTAATTTGGGCAATACAAATTGCTAATAATCTTAAAAAAAAATTAAACTTTCATGCGACGAAATAAGTGGGATGACAATAAAGACTCAGTCAAAGCATTCAGGATATATAAAAGAGTATTAGAAGTAACTTGTAGTTCATTCCCGTAAACCTCTCCGGCTAAGCTAAATAATGCTTGTGGTGGGAGTGGGTTGCCACAACAGTTGAATACCGACATTGACACAGTTGCGATCATCACCATCATCGTCATTTCAGCCATAGGACGTGCGCTGCTGAATATAGGCCTCCCCCAATGATTTCCACAATGGTAGCTTGGTGGCGGCCTGCATCCAGCGCCTTCCTGCTACCTTTATGAGGTCGTCGATCCACCTTGTGAGTAAAAAACGTAAATCATAGTGCCTACTCTAGCGGAATGTTTAAAGTTAGCGAAATCTATTTGTTCCACACGAATAAGCTTCATTCCGTAAGTAACGGAAAATCAAGTTGATATCAATTACTTTTATTTTTATAATCACCAGTTCCATCTACTTCCACTTACCTTCAAGAAGCTCATAGCAGCGGCCACGATCTCCCTATTATTCGTCAGCATCTGTTCCGCCACCTTCTCCAGGAGACCCTGGACGATCTCCAGGCCCATGTCTTCAGAGAAGTTGAACAGAGCAGAGGCCACGGCTCGAAGGGTCGCGCTTACAACTCGCGGCAGCGGCGCCGACAGACCGGATAGAAGCATCTCCACGAATGACTGCATGCCTGGTACATTAAATGAAAGACTGTTACTGAATCTCCACGAATGACTGCATGCCTGGTACCAAAAAGTAATTTTTATTCATCTTAAAAAATCTATGAGTTCCGTTTTTTGCCATTTGGCTACGGAACCCTACAAAAGAAGCCCTTATAAGGCCACATGTCTCTATGGTTCTACCAGTTCTTCGAGACAACATAATGAGGGCTATCGTTTTAGCGCTCACCAGTTGCGCCACTGTAGAGTAAGGTCCTGTCACTTGCTAGTAGCGAAGACAGTGGCACCAACTGGTGAGTGCTAAAGTGGTAGGAGGACTATCGCATTTGCACTGATCAAGATGGCGCCACTGTAGAGTAAGGTCCTGTCACTTGCTAGTAGCGAAGACAGTGGCACCAACTGGAGAGTGCTAAAGTGGTAGGAGGACTATCGCATTTGCACTCATCAAGATTGGCGCCACTGTAGAATAAGGTCCTGTCAATCGCCAGGGGTGCCAACTGTTAAGTATAAAAACGATAGCCCTCATAATGCAGGTCCTAAGAAGACACGCAGAAATAAGAAGACACGCAGGAATAAACTCCTATCATTTCAAATATCTAAAGACATTCTTCCACGAAAGACTGCAATGCCTGGTACAGAAAGCAGGCCAAGTTAAACAGTGGCATCATCATCATCAGATCATTAAGCAGACCCTGGACGATCTCCAGGCCCATGTCTTCAGAGAAGTTGAACAGAGCAGACGCTACGGCTCGGAGCGTCGCGCTTACAACGCGCGGCAGCGGCGCCGACAGACCGGATAGAAGCATCTCCACGAAGGACTGCATGCCTGGTACATGAATTAAAATGCTATTATGAATATGACCAAGACTTGGCACTTTTGAACGTTTAAAAAGGAAAGGAAACCCTTCACATGTGTCCTTGTCTGGGGGTCCTACCAGCTCTTCGAGACAAAAAACCTGCTTGGGTTGTGAGAAGACGCACAGGAAAAAATCTGTCATCTCAAAAATCTAAGACAATCTTCCGCGAAAGACTGCATGTGTTCGCAATTGGTCGATTTTCGAGTGGCTATGATATGTCTTTTTAGAGAAAGTTGGGTTCGCGCCTGTTCACCAGCTCGATGGTCTGACCTCAAGAGATAACAGTGATTGGATGAAAAAAGACAGATCGCGTTTCCTTGATAGTTTTCGCTCAGTAGAGGTGTATGTCCTAAAGAATAAGGTTTATTTTGCAACACGGTGAGTGTTGCTCTTCCCGTTCTTTTAGTACGTTTCCAGCGCAAGTGATGACGTTGAACGCGCACTGACGACACTTGGAGTTGATGTCTCGAGTCCACACTACTGCTTGCGATACTGTACCCTATTGCCAGAAAATAAGGTTCATTCTGCGTCACTCACCGTCTTCTCGTTCTTTTAGTACGTTTCCAGCGCAAGTGATGACGTTGAACGCACACTGCCGACACTTGGAGTTGATGTCGCGAGTGCATACAACTGCCTCTGCTATAGCCCCGCGGATTAATTTGCTTTCGCCGTTCAAGTTGGGAGACGACGCGATTAGGTGCTCTATGCATCTGAGGATAAGAGTGGTATTTTAATAACAATAATNTATTATTTATAACGTGATTTGTGATTGATGGATTTCTCAATTTTTACAAAAGTGTCAAAAAGACATTTTAAAGACAATAGATTGCAATAGATATTTAAAAATACAATAAAAAGTAAAAAATTCTCCATCGCCATCGGTAACATAAGTGATGTGCATGCGTTACGATAGTTAGTGATGTGTTTAACAGATTGTCGATAAAATAAAATATTCAAAATTAAATATCAAAATTTTCGGGCATTATTTTTTAACGGATTTGTGTTCAGTATCAGTAATATAGTTACCTCTGTAAATATGGCAAGAATGCAAAGTAACACCCTGTATATTAGGGAAACAAACAATTTTGATGTACAGACAAATAATCACACAAAAACTAGAACAGAAATCAGCAAAGTTTCCACAGTTAAAATTAATACAGGGTGCAGACTAAAAAAATAATTAAATAGTAATAATTATTAAAGTTCGCAGGACCGTTCATTGTGGAAAACCTTGGGGGAGGCCTTTGTCCAGCAGTGGACGTCATTTGGCTGAAACGAAATTAAAGTTAGGGGATGGTTTTTAATTTAAAGGCCAAGTTCAATCATGAGGAAATTGAATCTTCCATGCAACGAAATAAGTGAGATGACAATAAAGACTCAGTCAAAGCATTCAGGACATTTAAAAAAGTATTAGAAGTAACTTGTTGTTGTTCATTCCCGTAAACCGGCTAAGCTAAATAATGCTTGTGGTGGGAGTGGGTTGCCACAACAGTCGAATACCGACACTGAAACCGATGGGTTCATCAACATCATCATCATTTCAGCCATAGGACGTGCGCTGCTGATAATAGGCCTCCCCAATGATTTCCACAATGGCCGTTTGGTGGCGGCCTGCATCCAGCGCCTTCCTGCTACCTTTATGAGGTCGTCGATCCACCTTGTGGGTTATTGTAGACTTAAAATGTTAATCATGGTGCCTACTCTAGCGGAATGTTTAAAGTTAGCGAAATCTATTTGTTCCACACAAATAAGTTTCCTTCCGTAAGTAACGGAAAATCAAGTTGATATAAATTACTTTTATTTTTATAATCTCCAGTTCCATCTACTTCCACTTACCTTCAAGAAGCTCATAGCAGCGGCCACGATCTCCCTGTTATTCGTCAGCATCTGTTCCGCCACCTTCTCTAGGAGACCCTGGACGATCTCCAGGCCCATGTCTTCAGAGAAGTTGAACAGAGCAGACGCTACGGCTCGGAGCGTCGCGCTTACAACGCGCGGCAGCGGCGCCGACAGCCCGGATAGAAGCATCTCCACGAATGACTGCATGCCTGGTACATTAATTGAAATGCTGTTATGAATTTGACCAAGACTTGGCACTTTTGAAGGTTTAAAAAAAGATAAGGTAGTCCTTATAAGGCCCTTCACATGTGTCCTTGTCTAGGGGTCCTATCAGCTCTTCGAGATACGATGCAAGTCCTTAGGACTTGCATTACTTTTGACAGCACAGTGACAGGACCTTATTCTAGAGTGGCGCCATCCTGGTGAGTGCAAGTGCTATAGTCCTACTATAGCTTCAGCGCTAATTGGCGTCAGTTTTAGCCACTAGCAAGTAAAAGAACCTTAATCTACATTGGCGCCAACTGGTGAGCGGTAATATGATAGCCCTTCACATGTCACTGGGGTCCTACCAGCTCTTCGAGACAAGACAAGCAGCTTTTGAGAAGACGCACAGGAAAAAATCTGTCATCTCAAAAAACTAAGACAATCTTCCGCGAAAGACTGCATGCCTGTAGACCTAAGTAAGATGCGCGCTGCGATAAGCGGTTATCACGCCATTTTATCGATTTTTCCCGTACATTTTGACGTCGATAAAAGTTATCACGGCGCGGTATCTTAGGCCTACTGGTTCGCAATTGGCCGATTTTCGAATGGCTATGATATGTCTTTTTAGAGAAAGTTGGGTTCGCGCCTGTTCACCAGCTCGATGGCCCGACCTCAAGACATAGCAGTGATTGGATGAAAAAAGACAGATCGCGTTTCCTTGATAGTTTTCGCTCAGTAGAGGTGTATGTCCTAAAGAATAAGGTTTATTTTGCAACACTCACCCTCTTCCCGTTCTTTTAGTACGTTTCCAGCGCAAGTGATGACGTTGAACGCACACTGGCGACATTTGGAGTTGATGTCGCGAGTGCACACTACTGCTTGCGATACTGCACCCTATTGCCAGAAAATAAGGTTTATTCTGCGTCACTCACCGTCTTCCCGCTCCTTCAGAACGTTTCCAGCGCAAGTGATGACGTTGAATGCACACTGCCGACATTTGGAGTTGATGTCGCGAGTGCATACAACTGCCTCTGCTATAGCCCCGCGGATTAATTTGCTTTCGCCGTTCAGGTTGGGAGACGACGCCATTAGGTGCTCTATGCATCTGAGGATAAGAGTGGTATTTGAATAACAGTAAATATAAATTACCATTTTACATGGAACCGTTTACATACGGATAGATAGATTATCAATGTAAGAGTAGGCGCACACCGTTGATTTTTCGTCGGCCGATAGTTTAGACGGGCAGTTGATCAGTATTATGTATGGGAGTGCGCACACTACGCCGATTCGATTTGGCCGATTCTTCATACAATTTAAAATCGGGCACAACTATCTGCCAAATAAAAATCAACGGTGTGCGCCTACTCTAAAAGCCACGATAGCCGAACGGTGAAGGGGTCGGACTGTCCATCTCGTGATCCTAGGAACGCGGGTTCGGTCCCCGCCGCCGCTTGACTATTTTGTGGTGAGCTCACTCGTGACACAAGCATAATAATATTTAGCTTAGTACGAGGAGCTAACGGGACTATGAGTAATTTGTGCAATAACAAAGTACTAATAATAAATCTGTTAAAAAAATGAGAAGTTCAAGCTGAAGAGCTATATTTCACCGGGACACCATGGCGGCGCAACCAGTCGCCGCTACCAACAAAATGTATGCAGCTTTGCGCAACCAAACGGACACCAGGTGAGTAACTCTCTATAAAGCTGTATACATTTTGTTGGTAGCCGGCGACTGGTTGCGCCGCCATGGGGTCCCGGTGAAATATAGCGTGAAGTGGCAATGGGCAGGGAAAAACGCAGAACTGACGGCCGATGGGGCAGCAAGGTTCTGGAGTGGAGGCTACGTACCGGAAAACGCAGCGTGGGACGTCCATCCACAAGGTGGACCGACATCATAAAGGTAGCAGGAAGGCGCTGGATGCAGGCCGCTACCAACCGGGCAGTATGGAAATCATTGAGGATGCCTATGTTCATACTTTAGCAGTGGAGGTCCTGAGGCTGAAATGATGATGATGATGATCAATGTGAGCTTACCTCAACCTCGCTGCCTTACTGCTATCCGCGACCTTATTGAGTGACGTCATGAGTAACTTCTTGATCTTCTTCTGGTTGGCCTTGAGGAACTCCTTGCAGTTGTCTCTGTCGCTCTTGAAGATCTCTTCTAATATCCTGTACGCTTTCTTGTGTTCCATCTCTAGGAGACGAGCTTTGTCTTTGTACCTGAGGTAGAAATATACAGGGTGTTTTAATGCATTAGGTAGCTTGTAACTATGCACATAATTTTAATGAGGGTTTTCGCGATTGAAAAATCCATAAAATGCTGCGTCATTGGTGGATTTTGACATATCTGTCAATGTCATGTCAAAAATAACCAATCATGCAGCATTTGGACCTCGAGTCTACGTATTGCCACTAATTCTATGTAATGTAACGTTCGAATACTAGTAAAATGTATGACGTTTGGTTTGTGACAGATGATACGCTGTGACATTGCATGGAGTGGCTCGTTGTTCTGTTACAAGTAAATGCTCTAAGGGCTAATTTTTCAATCGTCGGATAACTTTTAACTGAAGAATAAACTTGTCATTTTGACACATTGCCCATACTGAAACTGTCAATGTGACAAACTTATTCTTCAGTTAAAAGTTATCCGACGATTGAAAAATCGGCCCTAAGTCTAGTCTAACTCACTTTTAGCCTATTCCACTACTTGTTAAGTTATGGCGACTTAACATGTCACATGAACTACTACTTTTGGTTTTACAAGTCTTGGATAGTGATATCTGGCAATAAATTCACCTCATCTCAATGATCATCGACTTTGTTTTTTAGGGAACCAGTGAAACTGGCCCTTGTCTTGTAACATACGTATGTACGGTCAGTATAAAATAGTTCACGACACCCAAAGTGGCCAGAAAGTTGACAACACAACCTTATTCCGATTGTAACAAAGACGTGTTGCGAACATAGTACCTACTTTGGCTGTCACGACGCTAACTGTACAGACGTCAAGACATCAAGGTGAAAAATAATAGCACCTTACGCAGTTGCAATACGAGCTATTTTGCAAGTATACCCTGATAACAACTTCTTTTTAAGCATCTTACCTCATCTCATTCTTCTTAATCTCCTGTCCATCTTCCCCTTCCTCCATCGCATTTTTCTTCTGTCGTTCCTTCTTCGCCTTTTTAAACTTCTTAGGATCTTCTAGCACGGTCTCGCACAGAGGATACACCCATTTATCAAACAGGTTCGCGATTTGTTCACTGGTCTGGTACAGAACGAGCAGACGGACTACGTCTAGAATGGCCTCGCGTTGGAAGTGATTGTCGGTTGAGGATTCTAGCTGTTGGAGCGCGTTGGTGAATAGCTCTTCTACTAAAGCCTGGTCGCTTATTGTCAGGTATACCTGGTGAGAATTAATACATTTACTGTCAGCGGATTAGAACATCTGTAATACTTAATTGCTACAACCTTCTTAATGTCTCACAATTTCTTTGGGGTAATGATTTGTAGGTCAGTGTTGAAAAGAAGCAGCAAGGAATTGAGTCACAAAACTGTCAATTTCTAGCCGGTAATTGGCTAAGGTTAGTAGATTTATGTAACGGTAAACCGGTAGTAGACCCATGTAATACCGAAGACCAGAATGATCTAATAACGATTCTCACTGCTAACTGCTTCACCTAGCATTCTTATTGAGTCTCATCTGATACCAGAAACAATGTATCGTTGTCTAGTGATATGTACACGTTGAGCAGTATGGGCAAATAGTTCTTGGCGAGTCTTATGTGATACCAGAGGCAATGCAGCGTTATCTAACAACAGTCATACCTGATACCTGTATAGTGTCCAAAGCGGCCAGTCTCTGGCCAGTGGCGGCGGCGCCAGTAGCTGGCGACATGTACACATTGAGCAGTATGGGCAGGTAGTTCTTGGCGAGTCTTATTAAGACTGACGTGTAGATAGAAGCGTCGCGAGTTTTACTGAGGCTCTATGTGGATAGATACGTCACACCAGAAGCAATGTAGCGTTGTTTAACTGCAGACATACCTGTATAGTGTCCAAAGCGGCCAGTCTCTGGCCAGTGGCGGCCGCGCCAGTAGCTGGCGACATGTACACATTGAGCAGTATGGGCAGATAGTTCTTGGCAAGTCTTATTAAGACAGACGTGTAGATAGAAGCGTTATCTAACAACAGTCATACCTGTATAGTGTCCAAGGCGGCCAGTCTCTGGCCAGTGGCGACGGCACCAGTAGCTGGCGACATGTACACATTGAGCAGTATGGGCAGATACTTCTTGGCGAGACTTATTAAGACTGACGTGTAGATAGAAGCGTTATCTAACAACAGTCATACCTGTATAGTGTCCAAAGCGGCCAGTCTCTGGCCAGTGGCGGCGGCACCAGTAGCTGGCGACATGTACACATTGAGCAGTATGGACAGATACTTCTTGGCGAGACTTATTAAGACTGATGTGTAGATAGAAGCTTTATCTAACAACAGTCATACCTGTATAGTGTCCAAAGCGGCCAGTCTCTGGCCAGTGGCGGCGGCACCAGTAGCTGGCGACATGTACACATTGAGCAGTATGGACAGATACTTCTTGGCGAGACTTATTAAGACTGATGTGTAGATAGAAGCTTTATCTAACAACAGTCATACCTGTATAGTGTCCAAAGCGGCCAGTCTCTGGCCAGTGGCGGCGGCACCAGTAGCTGGCGACATGTACACATTGAGCAGTATGGACAGATACTTCTTGGCGAGACTTATTAAGACTGATGTGTAGATAGAAGCTTTATCTAACAACAGTCATACCTGTATAGTGTCCAAAGCGGCCAGTCTCTGGCCAGTGGCGGCGGCACCAGTAGCTGGCGACATGTACACATTGAGCAGTATGGACAGATACTTCTTGGCGAGACTTATTAAGACTGATGTGTAGATAGAAGCTTTATCTAACAACAGTCATACCTGTATAGTGTCCAAAGCGGCCAGTCTCTGTCCAGTGGCGGCCGCGCCAGTGGCTGGCGACATGTACACGATGAGCAGTATGGACAGATACTTCTTGGCGAGACTTATTAAGACTGACGTGTAGATAGAAGCGTCGTCTAACTACAGTCATACCTGTACAGTGTCCAAAGCGGCCAGTCTCTGGCCAGTGGCGGCCGCGCCAGTGGCTGGTGACATGTACACATAGAGCAGTATGGGCAGGTAGTTCTTGGCGAGTCTTATTGAGGCTCTTATGACACGAGAGACAATGTAGTGTTGTCTAGCTACAGTCATACCTGTATAGTGTCCAAAGCGGCCAGTCTCTGGCCAGTGGCGGCGGCACCAGTAGCTGGCGACATGTACACATTGAGCAGTATGGGCAGATAGTTCTTGGCGAATCGGCCAAGCTCGCGGGAATCCTCTTCGTTGTCTGCGGAGCAGGATATGAGCTTGCGCAGCGCTTGCATCACTGAGAGACGGAACTCTGGGTTGTCTTTTAGGACGTTACCTGTGAAAAAACATTAATTAAGGTACTGAACGCAAACTGTAGAACAAGATGATCATTTCGGCATAATAAATGGGAAGGTTTTTATGGAGACCAGGGAAAAATACAAAGTTGGAAAAACTGTAGGGTGATTGCTATAGTAATTAGCCTATACATAGTTATTGGTATATTGGATTGTTAATAAGTAAGAGACAAAAATATTTACTACATTGGACTGCGTATTGCTCAGAAAAATATTTGTCTCTTTTCCTCTCTTAATAAATTCCATTAGGCTTGTTTCTTTTTATTTTAGGCAAGTTGGTCAATAACTATGTATTGGCTAATTACTATAGCGATCACCCTATCCACTCGGGCAAAGTCGCGAGCAGAAATTGTTAGTGGCATGCTGTTTATTATTAAAGAAAAAATAGTTCGGTGTGCCGATGAATGGTCTAGCATTAAACAACAACAAAAAAACTTACCTAAAACCCTGGCCAGCGCTTTAAAATTGTCCTTAATATCCTTAGGGCTGTTACAGAAACTGGGCAGCAACGCCCAAAACTGATTGCACAAGAGCTCATAAGTATGTGATCCTGGCATATCTTTCGAAGCCGCTAATTCCCTAGCCTTCTTTCTGCAAAACGTAGCCATTTCTAATATTTCCGTAGCGAAGAACTTCAAATTTGAGTTCTGAATCTTTTCTTTCATAACTGGGAGCAACCAGCTCCGTTCCAAATTGATGCTTTCGGGGCCATCTCTTAAGGGAATGGTTCTCAGTACGAATTCGGGGCCCAAAGATTTTATGGCACAGCCTGTGGCGTATTCTACNACAATAATTATAAATTACCATTTTACATGGAACCGTTTACATACGGATAGATAGATTATCAATGTAAGAGTAGGCGCACACCGTTGATTTTTCGTCGGCCGATAGTTTAGACGGGCAGTTGATCAGTATTATGTATGGGAGTGCGCACACTACGCCGATTCGATTTGGCCGATTCTTCATACAATTTAAAATCGGGCACAACTATCTGCCAAATAAAAATCAACGGTGTGCGCCTACTCTAAAAGCCACGATAGCCGAACGGTGAAGGGGTCGGACTGTCCATCTCGTGATCCTAGGAACGCGGGTTCGGTCCCCGCCGCCGCTTGACTATTTTGTGGTGAGCTCACTCGTGACACAAGCATAATAATATTTAGCTTAGTACGAGGAGCTAACGGGACTATGAGTAATTTGTGCAATAACAAAGTACTAATAATAAATCTGTTAAAAAAATGAGAAGTTCAAGCTGAAGAGCTATATTTCACCGGGACACCATGGCGGCGCAACCAGTCGCCGCTACCAACAAAATGTATGCAGCTTTGCGCAACCAAACGGACACCAGGTGAGTAACTCTCTATAAAGCTGTATACATTTTGTTGGTAGCCGGCGACTGGTTGCGCCGCCATGGGGTCCCGGTGAAATATAGCGTGAAGTGGCAATGGGCAGGGAAAAACGCAGAACTGACGGCCGATGGGGCAGCAAGGTTCTGGAGTGGAGGCTACGTACCGGAAAACGCAGCGTGGGACGTCCATCCACAAGGTGGACCGACATCATAAAGGTAGCAGGAAGGCGCTGGATGCAGGCCGCTACCAACCGGGCAGTATGGAAATCATTGAGGATGCCTATGTTCATACTTTAGCAGTGGAGGTCCTGAGGCTGAAATGATGATGATTATGATAAATGTGAGCTCACCTCAACCTCGCCGCCTTACTGCTATCCGCGACCTTGTTCAATGACGTCATGAGTAGCTTTTTGATCTTCTTCTGGTTGGCCTTGAGGAACTCCTTGCAGTTGTCTCTGTCGCTCTTGAAGATCTCTTCTAATATCCTGTACGCTTTCTTGTGTTCCATCTCTAGGAGACGCGCTTTGTCTTTGTACCTGAAGAATAAAACATACAGGGTGTTAAAAATGCATTATTTAGTTATTTATAAAAACCAACAGCGATACATAATATAGCCAATGACAGGTTTCCCTCTTTATAAAAGTTCATTTTTGTTGGAAGTACATTATGAAGAACTATACAAGTGCCTCTGTGTAAAATATTAGATAGCAAGGAACTGTGCAGTCCGGACATTGTGGTCTAGCAAGAGGTAAGATCACCAGTCTCACACACAGCGATCCTGGGTTGGATTTCTAGTGGGGGCCATATCTTCTGCTCGATTTATTTTGGTGGCAGGGCTTCAAGGATCTAATAACTATTGGAAACTTATTGGGAAACTAGTGAAACTGGTCCTTAGTGTTCAAATATGTATGTTGAAGCGACAACACATCAATATAATTACTGTAGCGGTTACTAAAGCCTGGTCCGTGAGCACATAGAATTTTTTTCCAAAGACCCCAAGCTACCCATCCTTATCGCTCGCGCGTAATTATGTTGCTGTCGCGCTCGCACACTCACTGCGGGCGCCCGTCGCACAGTCGCGACAGCAATATAATTACGCGCGAGCGATAAGGATGGGTAGCTTGGGGTCATTGGACAAAATTCTACGTGCTCACGGACCAGGCTTTATAATAGCCTTAACGTGCTGTAGACTTCTTTCTAAACACCTTACCTCATCTCATTCTTCTTAACCTCCTGTCCATCGTCCCCTTGCTCCATTGCGTTTTTCTTCTGTCGTTCCTTCTTCGCCTTTTTAAACTTCTTGGGGTCTTCTAGCACGGTCTCGCACAGAGGATACACCCACTTATCAAACAGGTTCGCGATTTGTTCACTGGTCTGGTATAGGACGAGCAGACGGACTACGTCTAGAATGGCCTCGCGTTGGAAGTGATTGTCGGTTGAGGATTCTAGCTGTTGGAGCGCGTTGGTGAATAGCTCTTCTACTAAAGTCTGGTCGCTTATTGTCAGGTATACCTGGTGAAAAATAATATTAATTTATTATACCTACTGTAAACAAGCTTACAAAAAGGTTTATACATTATGTGTCACTAAACCTTTTAAAGATAAATCCCACAACTTCTTTGGAACAGTCTTTGAAGCAGCGCAAGGAATAGACTTACAATAGGTCGTTCTCTTTTTCAAAGAGTTTACAATATGTATTTGTGTGTACTTACGCACAATACTATATTGAGAAGTAGTTCTTTCAGCGGCTCTTTTATACATGTAACGTTGTTAGTAGTCCTTAATTGAAACCCGAACGAGTCTTATTGAGACATATTGTGGTACTAAAGACTAACGTTCTTTAGCGACATATAGTACACGTTGAGCAGTATGGGCCGATAGATCTTGGCTAGTCTTATGTGACACTAACTTTATTCATACCTGTATAGTGTCCAAAGCGGCCAGTCCGCCGGTGGCTGGCGACATGTACGCGTTGAGCAGTATGGGCAGGTAGTTCTTGGCGAATCTTACTGAGGCTCTATGTGGATAGTAGCGTTGTCTAACTATAGACATACCTGTATAGTGTCCAAAGCGGCCAGTCTCTGTCCAGTGGCGGCGGCGCCAGTAGCTGGCGACATGTACACATTGAGCAGTATGGGCAGATAGTTCTTGGCAAGTCATATTAAGACAGACGTGTGGATAGAAGCGTTATCTAACAACAGTCATACCTGTATAGTGTCTAAAGCGGCCAGTCTCTGGCCAGTGGCGGCCGCGCCAGTGGCTGGCGACATGTACACATTGAGCAGTATGGGCAGGTAGTTCTTGGCAAGTCTTATTAAGACTGATGTGTAGATAGAAGCTTTATCTAACAACAGTCATACCTGTATAGTGTCCAATGCTGCCAGTCTCTGGCCAGTGGCGGCCGCGCCAGTAGCTGGCGACATGAACACATTGAGCAGTATAGACAGGTAGTTCTTGGCGAGTCTTATGTGATACCAGACTCAATGTACCGTCGTCTAACTACAGTCATACCTGTATAGTGTCCAAAGCGGCCAGTCTCTGGCCAGTGGCGGCGGCACCAGTAGCTGGCGACATGTACACATTGAGCAGTATGGGCAGATAGTTCTTGGCGAATCGGCCAAGCTCGCGGGAATCCTCTTCGTTGTCTGCGGAGCACGATATGAGCTTCCGCAGCGCTTGCATCACTGAGAGACGGAACTCTGGGTTGTCTTTTAGGACGTTACCTGTGGAAAAAATAATCATTAATTAATCACAAAATATTTTAAATACTAACCCCCTTACTAATAAAACTTACACGCTCGTTGATCAGTGTTTTAAAGTGACGTTTAGTATGGAAATGTCATTTTAAAACAGTGATCAACAACCGTGTAACTTTTTATTAGTAAGGGGGTAAGTGCACAACTGGAAGACAAGCTGACAACATCATTTCGACAAATTGAAATCCGTGGAGTTTTTATACAGAAAACGGAAAAAATATCAGAAAATTAAAATCCACTTGGGTATGATGCCGTGAGAAGTAGTTAGAGACATGCTGGTTCTTCTCTATTTTTAGATATTTACAATAAAGATAAAACAGTCATATAAACCATGATATCAAAACTATGTGAATCTTTAGGTTATCGACTTAAGCAGCTTACCGTACCGACATGTTTTTAAACAAAAAATAATAACAATATACAGGGTGGAAACGATAAGTGATGTCACTCGATTATTTCTAAACTATACAAGATATCCAAAAATTGGTTACTGACTCTGAAAGTCCTACACGAGCTCTATCCAACGGTACCAATAATAAGTTACAAAAAAAGCTGGATCTATCCGAAAATTCAACGTTTCCAACTTCCATACATTTAGTAAAATCTCATAATATCAAAAATTATGCAAGATATCCAAAAACTGGTTACTGATCCTGAAAGTGCTTCACGAGCTCTATCCAACGGTACCAACAATAGGTTACAAAATAAACTGGATCTATCCGAAAATTCAATGTTTCCAGCTTCCATACATTTAGTACTGCCACAGTAATGGCACTCATGTCTTGATAAAATTATAGCAAGTAAAGCCTAAAACCAATTTTTTCCATGACTAATTTTAAATAGGAATGAAATTTACGAGTTCATTTTGAGTGTTTTTAATTTAATTTAAAAAATAACACTTCTAATATTGTGTGGCTGGCATACATTTAGTATGGAGACTGAAAACAATGAGTTTTCGGATAGATCCAGTGCATTCTGTAACCTATTACTGATACCGTTTGAAAGAGCTCGTAAAGCACTTTCAGGATCAGTAATCAGTTTTTCGATATCTTGTATAGTTTAGAAATAATCGAGTGAGATCACTTATCGTTTCCACCCTGTATGTCTAGCGCATAACTTAAGTCAGTTCTTGAGGTATGGGAGCGGCACGACATTGACATACAATAATGACGTGACAGAAACCTAAAACAAAATGACGTCACACTGACGTTTGACGTTACAAAAAACCTCACCTGCCATATACCATACCTCAAGCACTGGCTCAGTTATGCCTTATACTAGTTATGTGTGCCAATGAATGGTCTAGCATTAAACAAAAACACTTACCCAAAACCCTGGCCAGCGCCTTAAAATTGTCCTTAATATCCTTCGGGCTGTTACAAAAACTGGGCAACAACGCCCAGAACTGATTGCATAAGAGTTCATAAGTATGTGATCCTGGCATATCTTTCGAAGCCGCTAATTCCCTAGCTTTTTTCCTGCAAAACGTCGCCATTTCCAGTATTTCAGTGGCAAAAAACTTCAAATTTGAGTTCTGAATCTTCTCCTTCATGACTGGGAGTAACCAGCTCCGTTCCAAATTGATGCTTTCGGGGCCATCTCTTAAGGGAATGGTTCTCAGTACGAATTCAGGGCCTAGAGATTTGATCGCGCAGCCTGTGGCGTATTCGACTTCTTTGTCGTTGTGGAAGTTGTGGCTTTCGCGGCGGTCGTTCAGTTTTTTTAATAGTGGTGATAGGATGTTGGCCACTTTCTCGTTGCCGATCTGTTGGGAGATAATGGATATACATTAATCATAATAATGATAAGAGTGAGAGAAAAAAATTCTTGAGTAAAAGTGTGACACATCAACCTTTCACAAATAAATCAATTAATTAAGCCATAATACAGAGAAAAGTTCAAAATTCAATAGGAGAAATTAATTTTGTGGTCGGTTGACCCATTTACTGTCGAGAGAACGCACTAAATGAACACCTCAACCTGTCACAAATTGGTTTTTCAAATTCAAATTCGTTTATTTCTTTAACTTAGCCTAGTTCAGTTACAAGTTGTTGGAGCTTCCTGTTAAGCGACAGATGTTGTGTGTTGGTTTTAGCTCACAAACCGATATTTAGTTCAGTTCAGAAATTCATTTCACTTGATGGATACTGTAGTCAGTTAGAGGTAGTGTGGCCAAAGTGGCTAAAAACTTATTCCAAATGTAAAAAGGTCGTGTTGCGAACTTTTTAGCTACTTTGGGTGTCACGAACTATTTGACGCTGACTACCAACTGTTATACCCCTCATTTAGGCTGTTATTCCACTGACCTCAAAGCAGACAGCGCTAGTCATGATGACATGCTTGATGGCCTGGTTGAATGGGTTATCTAAGCCTGTTCCGATGCTTTTGATTATGGCTTCCACGTGCGGCTTATGGCGAACGTAGTCTTCGGATTCTACTGCTGGTCTGACACAGTCTAGGAGGACGGCCTGTGGGGAAATAATGCGTGTGTAATCCAAGGAATTAGAATATCTCGCTGAGCTATTAAAAACTTACCCTGAGGTTCACTATCTTACTTTGACTATAAAAAATGTCAAAAGTCTGTCAAACTCCATACAAAAACACAGATTATGTGTTATGTTTATGTATTGTGTTGTCTTATTTGTGACGTCTCTTTGTTTTAGGTATTTTGCTTAGTATACCTTTGAAAATTTAAATTTATCAAAATACCTACACCGTGTAAAAGCTACGCACGTGATATTGGCGGAACAGTGTGCCATGTGGCGAAAAACACAAGTTCATCGCCATTAATAATAATAAGAAGAAGAAGATAGTTAAAGTGACACAGTGTTGCAACTGCAAAATGAAGCTTTATTAAGAGTTTAACTTTCAACCATAGTTGTAAAAGATAGAGAAGCTATCGTAAACAAAATTTTTGCTCTGTTATAACTAAAATCCGCTGCAGCATTAGATCTGTCTGCTGCTAGATTGGTTTCATGAATGTCAAAGACCAAAGTCCCACTAAAGTAAGGTGTACGGATTACAATACAGTTCGTTCAGTTGAACAGAGCAAGTGTTCGGAACGCGAAATCTAGTGCGTAGTACCACAGAATAATAATAAGTACTACGTACAGAAGTTTTTACTTCGTGAAGGTATTTAAAAAAATGTATGCTCAATGTCATTAACAATATGGTGTAATTTAGCCTGTCTCAAGAGTCAAGCACCATTTTGTTGACAAACGTCAGTGATCGGCACTGCGCCGAAGCTATAGGGCTGACTTCGGTAAAATGATGTGACGTCAGGTGCCAAACTGCGGAAAATGGCGGAGGAAATACATGATTTAGCATAAATTATCATGTATAATATTAACTACTTATTTACCTCTCAGTGTCCTTCAGGCAACTCAAAAAAGTACATTCTGTGTTTTTATTATTTATTTAGGCAGTTAAATACTGCACAGTATTTAGTACAGCATTTTCTTCATTTTTTTCCATCATACACAAGAATACGCGTGCGTGAGTCAATGTTCGCTCGTATGTGAGGCCTTGTCGAATAGTGTCCTGTAGGTGGGCCATCGTGCGTGTTTTGTTTTCAATGTAAGCTCGCGGAGATGAACAGGCCTGGTAGTACTTGCTTTCAACGGGTAGTACGGCTTTATTACAATCACAAAAGAGTCTTACCTTCAACGCGTTGGTAGCGGCCGAGTTGACGTCAGCTACGTCAGAAAGCCACAATTCTGTGACGCAGATATTGACGAACATTGGCAAGTTGGGTGTACACAGGTTCAGGTCCAGGCTGGAAGGGGATATCGAAGTTTTATTTTATTTATTAGGACAACCAACAAGACAAACACGCATACATGGAATTACTATAAGTAAAAGTGCTTAGAACTAAGTGTTGTCTTAATTAAAGCCTGCCACGGCATGCAATGTGTTTTATAGCTTATAACGCTGCTTTGTTTTAAAGTTTTAATGCTGGGTAGTTCTACCTGTCTACCCTCAAACAGCCAACAGAAATATAATATTATTAAGGGTTATGAGGGTTATTTTATTTTAACTTAACGTTGGCGCAAATAGGCTTTAGGGTTTAAATTTAAAGTTTACGAGACCACACATGACGCGACCATTTCAAACCGGTTTCAAACTGTTCGCGTCATGTGTGGTTCTTCAACGGAATCTGTGGCAGAAACTTAGATGCAACTCAAAAGTAACTAGAAGTTGCAGTTATTTATTTATTTATTTGAACACCAACAAGGTTACATTGAGGCTTCACAAAAGTAACTATAAAAAATGACACTCGTTAAATGCAAACTTAATTATAGGTGAAAACATCATGCGTTAGAGACTAAAGCAACAGCAATTAATAGCAGTTTCGTTGCAATTGCGTTTCACTGTGTATTCTAGGCCTTATTTCTGCTAAATGTACCAGCCCAGGCCAATATCTGTCCCGTATCGTTCGCTGGGGGCCGGGCCGTCATTAAAGCCCTGGTCAACTGGACTGCCAAGTTCGCTGTCAAGTTGCTAATGTCTCTTGGCTTTACTTACTTGGCAAGACAGCCGTATCCCTGCTGCAAGACCGCAGCCCAGGCCAATATCTGTCCCGTATCGTTCGCTGGGGGCCGGGCCGCCATTAAAGCCCTGGTCAGCTGGACTGCCAAGTTGGCTGTCAAGTTGCTAATGTCTCTTGGCTTTACTTACTTGGCAAGACAGCCGTATCCTTGCTGCAAGACCGCAGCCCAGGCCAATATCTGTCCCGTATCGTTCGCTGGGGGCCGGGCCGCCATTAAAGCCCTGGTCAGCTGGACTGCCAAGTTGGCTGTCAAGTTGCTGATGTCTCTTGGCGCTGAGAACAACGCGTGTAGTGTGTGCAGGCAGCACGTCTTGATGTAGACGTTGTTGTGGGTCATTAGGGAGAGGATCGCTTCGCAGATTGACTGGGGAGGAAATAAAATAAGAATAGGCTAGTTGCCTAAAAAAATTTTTTTAGTCCGTAATGTTTAATATCAAAAAATATACATATATTTTTATTTGTCAATCTAACAAATAATTACATAGTTATGGTGCGTTGAAGTTGCGCACGACGTCACAACGTGCGGCATTTTTAAGCAAGCGTTGACGTCACGGGCCTCTTCTTATGAACTTTGGGGCGCTTTATCTCTTTAAATTTTCATTAGTTTGAAAAAGTGAAAAATACGTGTAGAGTATTTTTTGATAAGTTAACTGACGGACTAATTAAAACTCTTGCTTTTTGACCCAGGCAACATCCCCATTATAGCTACAAGATTTACTCACATAATATGTGTATTAAAAATCAAGAGTATCTGCTTGTTTTACAAAATTCTGGCGTGTGAAATTTAAACTTTTATGTACATGTTTTTAAATGAAATAAATGTATTTAGCGTTCGTAGCGTGGGCAGGCCTCCCACTAGGTGGACCGACGATCTGGTGAAGGTCGCGGGAGGTGCCTGGATGCAAGCGGCGCAGGACCGGTCTTTGTGGAAATCCTAGAGGGAGGCCTTTGTCCAGCAGTGGACATCTATCCGCTTAAACGACGACGACGACGAAAAGTATTTAATATACTCATAGTTACAGATAGCTCAATGTCATTAAAAAACTTGACACAAGCTCGATGTAAGCAATTAGAAAAACGATACTCTTTATTACACTAAGGGCTGATTTTTCAATCGTCAGGTATCTTTTAACTGAAGAATAAACTTGTCATTTTGACATATTTTCCATACTGAAACTGTCAATATGCCAAAATTATTCTTCAGATAAAAGTTATCCGGCTATTGAAAAATAAGGCCTAAGCTGTATACAAAAATTAACAATCATAACAAAAAAATTGTTGTATATTTATAATGAACATTTTTTGTAGGATGTCATGAAAAATTCTATTGAATTAACTAACATTTTATTTCTATTCCAGTTTGAGATAAACTAGCTTTCTTTTAAAATTAATATAGACGGTAAGCGGTTCTCTTGCTTCAAATAAAGCTTGGCAACATTCAACCAACCTTAATAAAGTCCTTGCTGAACACTGGCAGCACATCTCGCAGCATTGTCAGCGTATGCAGCACCGAGCGGTGTCCCGACAGCAGCGCTTCTGCCTTGATCTGGGATAGACAGTACTCTGCCACGCGGTTTGATGCTGGGTGAAGTTTTGGTACCTATAAGAAAGACGTGTTGACACCACCAATCAATGAGGGCTATCGTTTTTATTTACTTAACAGTTGGCACCCCTGGCGATTGACAGGACCTTACTTTACAGTGGCGCCATCTTTATGAGTGCAAATGCGATAGCCCTCCTACCACTATACCACGTGCCGCCTCTGTGGTCTAGTGGTAAGACCACCTGCTTCAGACGCAGAGGTCCCGGGTTCGATTCCCAGTGGGGGCAGATTTTTCTGTTCGGTTTGGTTGGTGGTAGGGCTTGTTCTAAGTCCGCCTGGCTAGCTACCACCATCTTACCTAAGTCTGTCGCCATAACAACAATGTTAACAGCATTGTTGTGTTCCGGCAGTTAGAGGTAAGATAGCCAGTTCCTCCGTGGTTGAGGATTCCGGGTGAAGCTCGCTTCCACCTTCGGCCTGATCATCACTTACTTACCATCAGGTGAGATACAGGCCAAAAAGCTTTCTCGTTGATGATAAAAAAAAAAAAAACTTTAGCGCTCACAAGTTGGCGCCACTGTCTTCGCTACTAGCAAGTGACAGGACCTTACTCTACAGTGGCACTAACTGGTGAGCGCTAAAACGATAGCCCTCATTGACGTACTTTTTAGGGTTCCGTAGTCCTGACAAGGAACCCTTATAGTTACGTTATGTCCGTCTGTCTGTCTGTCCGAGGTTTTGCTTGGAAACTATTAGCACTAGAGAGCTGTAATTTTGTGGAGATATCTAATACATATTATGTATATTAATTACGCCGACAGTGGTAGAATAAAATAAGGATTTTTGGAGTCTGTCTTGCAGCTATATAATCACAGTGTTTCTGAGAATATCAAGTATTAAACGAGACGTACGATATCCTTCAGCGCTACTGTCTTAGCCACTAGCAAGGGGTACTTACTCCACCGTAGCGCCCATTGGAGCACAAATACAAGAGCCCTCTTTTGTTTTGAAACTTGATAGAACTATCCCAACTATAATATTATAAATGCGAAAGTAACTCTGTCTGTCTGTCTGTCTGTTACGCTTTCCCGCTTAAACCTCGCAACCGATTTTGATGAAATTTGGCATAGAGATAGTTTGAGTCCCGGGAAAGAACATAGGATAGTTTTTATCCCGGTTTTTGAAACAGGGACGCGCGCGATAAAGTTTTTCTGTGACAGACAAAATTCCACGCGGGCGAAGCCGCGGGCGGAAAGCTAGTAATATTATAAAGGAAGTTTAATTACATTTGAAATCAATTGTATGTATAATTAATTTAAGTAAAATATTTCTTCATACCTTGACTTTTTGGTTTTCAGATGGTATCATAAAACAGCTGCCGCGCAAAACAGACGTAAGAGCATGTTGTGCTGCTTTTCGTACCTAAAATAAAAACAGTAATGTATGTACCTAAAATAATAACAGTATGAGCGATGTCTCGTTGAAATAAAAAGAATACTAAGCTCATATTTGCGCCAAAACAAAATCACCTTTGAGTACAGTTTATAAAGATTATTCTGCACACAAAATGCATAAGATAACCAATTTAATTGCAGTAAGATGAATAATAAAACCTTACCTTGGGTTTTGAATGCAAAGCGAATGCTAGCACTGAATCGAACACCCTCATCGTTGACGAATCACCCCACAAGGCATACTCCTGGGCTCTCAATATTACAGACAAGCAACCGATGGCACTTCTCAGCAAAGCACCGTTTTCTGACTGAGAATTCTTCTCCAGTATTTCGGTGAATATTTTTGCACAGTCTGAGAACTGTTTGCGGAGTACCGCTTGGGATACGGACTTGATTCCCATGGAGAGAAGGGAGAGGGTGGCTACTAAGCTCTCTTCACCTTCGGATGCTTTTAGTGTCTCCATCTGAAAAGAATTTAATGTAGTTTCTTTATTTATTTCCACTGTAACAAAACTTTTGGCAAGGAGTAAAAAAATCTTACTATCATCTATGGTCTACCCACAAAAAATTTAAGTAAAAACACGTATTTATATAAAAATGTTAAGTGGTTATAAGTTTGACTATGTCACATTTTAGTAAAACTCTAGCTCCATTTAAAAAGTAAAGTAGTATTTGAAGAATTTAGTATTTTGTGCTTGTGGAGTGGTTTGGTTTAAGAAAATAAAATATTTTGTTACATACCAGAGCAGCAAAATATTCAGTGGTAGATTCCTTCCCTCCCTGCTCCTTGATGACCTCTGTCACTGCCGCCAGCACAGCCAGCATCTCTTTGTGGGCAGCATTGTTCGAGTCAAACTTGTTCAGTAGCCTGGAATAACATGGTCAAACATTTATATTATTTCATACTAGGGTTGCCAGGTCCAAACACACAAAAGCCGAACTCTGTGCTTCATTTGGCCGGACATTTTACCCTAAAAGCCGGACATGTGACAGGCCTAACAAAAGCCGGACAGGCCGGAGAAGACCGTTCTGGCAACCTTAACTACTACACTTACTGCAGTGTATTGATGTTGTATGATGATTGTGGTAATACTAATTTCAGGAATATCCATTTCAAGTGCAGGTTTTAGTTCTATCAGGTTTGTGTATTAAAATTATTTTTTATGATAAACATGCACTGTGTGGGGCAATAGGGGCCGAAATAATTTGTCAAAATTGAGACTTTTGAGTTGTTTAGTCCACAAAATTTATCTGAAGAGTAGATAGTGGCAAAACACAAACAACAGAACATGGTCAGAGGGTAGGGTTAAGATTTTAGACATTTAAATTTAAACAAATGATTTCTTTAATGCATTCGCTTACTAAAACTTATTTTACTGCTTAATTGTATTAACTTACCTGCTAAAACTAACATTGGAGCATTGGCTCCAATCTGAGGCAAACGTTTGGAAAGTTTTGAACGTCCCAGACCGCATAGTCCCAGAGTATTCACTGTCTGACCCGTCTTCTCCAGTTTTTACAGACATATTCTCAAATTCCTTTGCTATGGACAACTCATTTTCAGCATCGGACTTTTGCTTGCCGAGACTATGTCCATAAGTCATGATAGCATCGTGTTTTAGCACAGCTTGTTGAGTTAAGCCTGTGTTACCTGAAAATTGAGAAGGAAACATACTTTGGTTATTTAAACCTGTTGACAGGGTTAGGTAAGATTTGGAAGCATTGTAAAGGTCCCCTGGATAACTAAACAGTATATGAGTATATTATCTTTTTTGCATTAATCGTCTATTTAGCAAATAACACCAAAAAAATAACACTTACCCAAGTTCTCTTGAAAAAATCTTGACTTGGCCATTTCTCTGTATTTCTGCATTTTTGGGTTTGACTCGGATGACTGGCCTTTCTGCCATCTCTTCCCCTTTGTTTTACCTTTAAGTTTAGACCTGAATTTTCCCATTGTTTTAGATTTTCATCAATATTTTTCACCGAAAGCACACCGCACGTGGTGACAAACTTTTGAAAAGTGAAGTTAGCTGCAAGTGATTGTCAAAATTGACAAACGAAATGTCATAACAATCAAGATGGCAACTTGCAGAAACTAATTTTATAATGCCACGGATATTTCAACGACTGCCAAAAATCCTCAGTTTACTTTATTGGACCGCGCTTTATTTACGTTCGGTTCTACGCGATTAGACAACTATAATTGAAACATCATTATGAGAAGGAAATTGCTTTACGTGAATTGGAGCGTTATTCTCTGATTATTCTTTTCATTCACCTTCGTTCTTGTTTCATTGACGTTTTTCTTGTTTGTAAATAATAAACGCTGGAAATAGTACGCAATGTGATATTACACACATTCCTCGACCGACTGCACATTACGTAAACGATAGCCGTTGCGGTGTAATTAATTAATAGAAGTGAAACAATCATAACCTATTCGCTTGTGTTTTGCTTAGCTCTTGTGGCGAGTGTGAGTGCGATATGAGCTGAATGATGCCACCGTTTAGAAGGAAGAAGGCGTCCAAGTCATTCCCAGTCAAGGTTTGCACCTTGGACGCTGAATTGGAGTTCAATTTAGAGGTAAGAATGACTGTTGGATATGAGAGAGAGAGCTCTTAATTTTGCTGTGGAATTCATTGTGTTAATACAGTGGCCTATTTGTGAGTCATGATGTGTAAAGGGCAGGCCGTAATGCTAGTAAATTGCTGTTAACAACTGTGCTGATAGCTGCATGTTGTTGTATATTTAGCACTGATAATGCTGCTACAGTTCATGTTATCTGTCATATGGATGTAAATAAACTATGTTATGAAGTTGCACTTATAATGCAATGTTACATACTGATTTAAAAGCTAATTTATTTATATTTATTCTACTGTAAATGCTCTAATAATTTGTTTGTTGTAAATTACTGAATAAACTTGCATCCAATATCTATTGTATACACATGGACATAAGCATTGGGTACTTTATGTTATGAAATTAATAAATAATACAAAATTTACAGTGGCGAGCAACAGGAAGAGACCTGTTTGACTTAGTATGCCGAACTATAGGCCTGAGAGAAACATGGTTCTTTGGACTTCAATTCGAAGACACAAAACACTTTATAAGTTGGCTGAAATTGGATAAAAGGGGTAAATATTTCTTCTAGTTGCTAGTAAATAGTAAGACCTACTTCAATATTATTTCTCAAAAAAAATGTACGTAACGAAACGGTAGTAACGAAATAGTAAGGCCATAAGGCTTGTTATACATTGCCGAAATATTGTGAATGCTCTTCATTATTTTATTCAATTCGAAATATTTGTAAGTATGCACCCAAATACGGGGTAATATTAAGGGGTTAGAAATAAAATAAGGGAGTAATCATTCATACTATTTTAATAAAAATATTTTTGTTCCATTATGTTTATCCATTTTGAGTCGTTCTCTGTAAGCTTTTTGCCTTTCAGCATTGGTTTTTGGCGGCATTCCTAAAAAAACAAAAGAAGTAATCACATAAAAACGTAATCTAAATGATTTGATAATTTTTTGCTGGTGGCACTTCTGTAAAGCAGATAGTATCCAATCCTTTTGTTATTAACGCTCTATATTTTTTGAAATAAATTAAGTAGTGAATATTACTATGCTTAGTCAGGTAATAACAGTATACACTCAGCATTATGTTGTACTTTTTCGTAACGTAACGAAATTCGTAAAAAACGTAACGAAATATTAGACAAAATGAGATCAGAAACAAGTATTTTTTTGATAAAATTTGTTACAGCAAATATAAAAGCTTACTAAATGTTCGTACCACACATATTACAAAAAATGGTTAAATGAAGACTTACCGTTCTATATAAAATCGCTGATTTTACTGCCTGTTACGAAAAAGTAATCCCACAAAACACACACGTTTTCACTAATTTTCGCGATAGATGTTATGGCGGAGACGTCAGGCCAACAGCCATTCAGAGTGCAGCTATTGTTGTCCGTGTAAAATAAATACGGAATTGTTCAGAAACCATGGGAAAGTAGAAATAAATAGTAACTAAAGAGTAAATAACGAAATAGTAAATGAGAGCGACTCATTTTGTTTTTTTGCTTTAAATTGCCAATTCATTATGACACCCCATAGAAAATCAATTTGATACAGAAACTGCGATTACTGTAGAACGATAATACAAAGAAATTTACAATAATTTAGTTACGTATCGCATTTTATGAAACAAAAATACATGAAAAAGCTAGGGTGGCAAACAGGTTTTTGTATGAAAGGTAAAAAAGGACTATTTTTAAAATATCTAAATATTTGGTAATAAGTAGGATTATAGCTATAATTCTTCGTTATCTTAAAGATTCATATTCATACTTCAAAATTGTGTGTGTGTTTTTTTTGTGTGATGATTTATAAATATAAAACTTTTGAACTGTTTCAAAGCACACTTTTTTTTTCAAAATGTACATTTTTTTTGAGAAATACTCATTAATATTTTTATTTATCTATTATTTTAATTTGTGCCTGTTCTTTTTCAATCTTTGTTATTTGTAGTGTTCTACAGTCAAGTACCTATTCAGTTTACTCAAATATACATATGCTGTAAGTTGTTCAATGATACTTTAATCAAAAATTCATTACCTCCTTTTATGTACAATTGTACATAAGCAGTACTATTGGTACTATCTACCTTGCACATAAATGTACTCTGTACTATAAAAAAATACTTATACCTATCATTATTGTTAACCTTTAACTATGGACGTCGGGTCTCAGAGGCCCACCCCCCTTGTCAATTTCTCGGTTTAAACACCTTCCCGCCACGTGCTGCTCTCGACCATCTCAGTAGCTTCAGTTTTAACTGTGTTTGAACCGAGGAGGCATAAAATCGCGTCTTCCGGCACTTATTACGTGAGTAATAACCATCCAAAATTTTATCGGGGTCTGGGAGACCCGATGACTATAATTTCCATACAAACATATTTGTATGCATGTAACTTGTCAACTATATTTTTTTTATATTATATCATTATAATATGTTGTAAATTGTTCTAGTTTAAGAATACATACTGGCAGAAAGTATCTGAGTACATCAGCTATATTATTAGCCCAACTATCTAAGTAACATTCCAGATGTAAGGTTTTACTTGTAGACGATCCTTCTTTTGAGTTTAGATGTCTTAGAAGGCACCATTGCTGCAGATTCCGATTCTGAATGATGTACATTTTGCCCATCAAAGCTCTCAAAGAAAGATGACACATGCTTGTAGAGTTAATTTGTCTTTAGTGTTCTAGGCCACTGTTTATAATTTTAGTAAGTTTAACCCTTGTCAAAATTTTTATTTTATGTCTTTCAGAAATTCTGTTTATGTTTTTATGTTACACAGTTATTAATTAGCTAGGAAAAAAATATTAGTTTGATTTATTATTAATCGACTGTAATCAAGGAGCCTATATGTGATGCCAAGTCAATTAACACTGAAAAATGTCTATGTCTTTTAAATTTGCAAAAAAATAATTAAATAATGATTAAAAATTGATTACATTTACTACTAGATCCTTTATTAATAGTTATTAGATATATATCAACTCTTTGATAAATTCAAATTGGTTCAGATATGAAATTATGAAGAATTTTACATAGGGGTCTGTGAGACCCGACGTCCATGGGAGTGTGATTATTTTTTCACGTCCATAGTTAAAGGTTAAATTATGTGTTTCTTATCATTTGTGATAAAATTAGAACATAATTTAGGTCATTAATTCATTCCAATCTAAGTATTATCACATTTATCACTCTTTATTGACTGACTGATTTATGTGATTAACATTTTTAAGATAGGTTTAAAAAATCATTTTACTATACATATTTTCTCAAAACATTGTAGACATTTTCCATTAAATAAATTCTGGCATGAAGCTGTTAAACAATAAAATCAATTAAATCAAAATAATATCAAAATAGCGGAGTTATTCATCCCTATTTTTATGGCCATTTCTCTTACCCATGATAATACTGAAATATTTTCATGTACAGAGGGCAGCACATCAAGCTTAACACTGCAGTCTCTATGTAGTTGTAACAAGGACAATTTCACCCTTAACTGCAACAAAAAATTACAGTCTAGATCAGTGGTTCCCAAAGTTGTCTAGGCTTCATCTAATACAACTTTCCAAACTCGGGACCCACCTCTAGGAAATTTAACCGTTACCAATATGCCTAAATAAAGGACTCGTTCTGTAGGGTGGTGTGTCGTTCTACAGGCAGGGCCCACTCAATGTTCGCTCGCGACCTATAGTTTGGGAAACCCTGGTCTAGATATGCTGTCGTTTGTTAAATACATTCTACTAACTCCTTCCTCATCATTCCAGTGCAAGACCAATGCGTCTCCCAAATGCCGGGCACTCCGTTCATGCTGCTCTGCAAGTTGTACCCTGAAGACGTGGCCGAGGAGCTCATCCAAGAGGTCACACAGCACCTCCTATTCCTGCAGGTCAAGCAAGCGATACTGAGCATGGACATCTACTGCCCACCGGAGGCTTCGGTGCTGCTGGCCAGTTACGCTGTTCAGGCTAAGGTAGTTGTTTTGATTTGATAAGTGTAATTTAAGAAAGATTATTTAAATAAAAAAAATAAGAAGGTAATTGAAATATAAATTATCTGCAACTAGCTGTGTTCATGATTCCGTACGCGTTTTAAAATAGTTTCATATGCTAAATTTATCATTAAACGCGCAAATTTTCAAAAACAAAGTTAAAGTACTTGTAAAGCCACCATATGTATCTATTCATATGTTATTTACGTAATCTTATTTAGTCTTAGTTCATATCAATTTTATACTTTACTCTCAGTTTGACCCTAAGGTTGACTGGAGGAAAATGCCGAAAGGCATTAAGTACGCTTTATCTACACTGTTCAATGTGCATATAAGTTTGAAATAAATAATTAAAGTTTAAAATAATCTTGGTACAATTTCACGGCATATCTTTCCCTGTACGGGGACTACGACGAAAGCGAACTTTACGACCCTATTATAAGGTTGAAAGTCAATATGACCAATACTAGCTAGCTTTATGCCTTTATCGAAAGGTTTTAAATGTATTGTCCCCAGTATGACGACTACGACGAGACCAGCCAGTGAACTTTATGCCTTTATCATAAAGTTTTAAATCTATCATCCCCAGTCCAGTACGGCGAGTACGAGAGATAATTTTGCTTCTTAATTTATTACAAGGTTCAAAATCAACACAACCACTACCAGCAAGTGAACCTTAAGCCTTCACTGTAAGGTCCTAAATCTATTCTCCCCAGTACGGTGACTACGACGAGAGTGCGTACAAGCCTGGCATGCTGGCGAGTGAGGACCTGCTTCCACAACGCGTCATCGACCAGTATCAGATGACGCCCGAGATGTGGGAGGACCGGATCAAGATCTGGTCAGTACCTTCATCATCATCATTAGCAGCAGTATCTCTAGCACGAAAAACTTTCGACTTCGAATCGTTTGCGTATTCGAATCGCCATCTAAAGATTTGGTACGGATACTACAAGTGCCCTTGTGAACGTGTCGTAAAGTATCAAAATTGTCACATTATCGTTTAATTCGAAGGTTGAGTATCGAATTTACTCGAATACGCAAACGATTCGAAAACGAAAGTTGTTCATGCTAGAGGTACTCACAAATTATTCACAAATGATGCTTGCTTAAGTGAAGCAACAAATTGAACGCAAAGCGTTGAATAGAGCTCTGAGATGGTTTCTTGTGTCACCCTGTTCGTCCACGCGCACTGTGAGACCTCATAGTAATGTTTGTGACCTCATAGTAATGTTTGTGAGTACGGGCGTTAACTTCATTTAGAACTGTATTCACTGCAGGGGCACGAATTATGAAGGTAGAACAAACGGAGGATTTATCCTATACTCCTAATGCAGGCCAGACGGGTTAATATCAACATGACAGCATGGTCGTTGTCATTCTCATGTATGACATGACAATCAGCCTTTTTCAAAAATGCAAGAAACCAGTCGGCCTTTTCCAGAAACTTTACACAATCTTTGCTCTTTAACTAGCTATAGTCTGGTCTGTGAGCACGTAGAATTTTGTTCAATGACCCCAAGCTACCCATCCTTATCGCTCGCGCGTAATTATGTTGCTGTCGCGCTCGCACACTCACCGCGGGCGCCCGTCGCACAGTCGCGACAGCAATGTACCTAATTATGCGCGAGCGATAAGGATGGGCAGCTTGGGGTCATTGGACAAAATTCTACTTGCTCACAGACCGGGCTTTAGTACATAACTGAAACTCACAGATGCACACAAACTCATTATAACATCATAATGTAAATAAATAACTGTATTTATTGTACTTATCGATGTGTCTTCAACTCTCACCTTTATATGATATTTCATACTATAAATAAATTAAAAAACATTAACCTTTAACTTATTGTAAAAGTAAACATGCCTGTTGAATTATTAATGAAACAGTTTGCATAGTTGTCGATATTTGTGTTCACATTCTAGCCATTAGCATGGCTGCACGCGATCCGCATTCTTGGTCAATGTTAATCGCTGGAAAATTGCCGTTTTTGAAATGCAATATTACAATTATATGCTAAAAATGCGTCTTTTTTTATTACCATGTTGCTCACGATAGATCAGATCCTACGAGTATTTAATTTGCTAACCTTGACTTCTTTGCATTACCATTGCAATCACAAAATTACTTTTTCCAACTCATAGGAGAGTAACAAAGGGAAGTTTTTATGGCAAAGAGATCCTATGATGGGTAGGCGCAGACTATCCCATTCGCATTTCGACACGAATTCAAAAATGGTCCCAATCGCATTCTCTATGACGTTACTACTTCGCGAACTCAATTTATTAACGTTTTCGATTTATCAAGTAAAATTACTGTTTTTAAAACTAGAATGGAATGTTTTTTATATCTTGGAATTATTGTCGTGTTTGTAATATTACAATTAATGCTGAAAATCATTGTTTATAGGTATGCGGACCATAAAGGGATGTCGAGAGATGAGGCCGAGATGGAGTACCTGAAGATAGCCCAAGACCTGGACATGTATGGGGTTAATTATTTTGCCATAAACGTAAGAATTTGTCTTTAGCTTTCAAAATTATAAAATATCGGCATGTACAGTATGTAAAATTCTTTAAAGTGTTTCTAGTGCTCGTTGTATGTTTGTATGGAAACATTTTTGTATAGAACTATTAATATCGAAATATCAAAAAGTTATTGTTATTAAAATATTTTTTTCCGATAAAAACTGCTACAGCTATGTCAATATGATTGTAATAAAGTTGTGTACACTAAAGCGTCCCAGCTATGACATTGTCAGGAGAGCGCTACTATCAATACTGAATTATTAGTTCCGTTTTTTGCCACTAAACGTTTCAGAATCTTTTGAATTTATAGATAAATATTTTATTTTTTCGATTGTCAATACTAGTCCCATACACATAGTTGTTGTATTTCAGAACTAGAATCACCCCCTATCGGATCTAAGAAGTTTTTAATACCTTGCATAAACGTCTTTTTCCCCGTATCTTCCGGATTTTTGCACCTTTAGAGCGCTTTCAATTTAGACATATTGTGTCGGGCGTCTGCCGTGCGTTTGCAGGACCGCACACGGTAAATTGCCAATTGTTTTTTTAAAAGAGCAATTTGTATTGCCCAAATTACTAATAGTCTCATTAGCCTCTCGTGTTAAGCTAAATAAGCTTGTGTTACGAGTGGGCTCACCACAATAGTCGAGCGGCGGTGGGATTCAAACCCGCGTTCCTCGGATCTCGAGTCGGCAACTCCGACCCCTTCACCGTTCGGCTATCGTGGCTATATTATAATTACCAATTACTTAAGAGACTTCTTATCCTTAAGAACAGTTAATATATTTTTCTCTGTACCTTCCAGAACAAGAAAGACACGGACCTTTACCTCGGCGTGACAGCGTTAGGGCTGAACATCTACGAGAAAGACAACAAGCTGACGCCTAAAACGACGTTCCCCTGGTCGGAGATCAAGCACATATCGTTCGACGACAAGAAATTCGTCATCAAGTTCGTCGATAAGTCCGTCACGAACTTTATATTCTTCTCACCTAAGGGCATGAACAAACTGGTCAGTAGATATTTTATTATATCTCATTCAAATGTCATTAAAAATATTAAGTGATACAATACATCTGTATCTTTACGCTCGACGTCAGCCTACTGTTGCACAACTATACGTCAGCAAAGTAGTACGCCAAGCGTCAGCAGTAGTACGCTAAATGTGAGCATTTGCACACCAAGCCTCAGTAGTGTCACATCACACAAGCAGTGTCATATTATGCCACGCGTCAGCATTGCTACGCCATACGTCAACAGTAGTTTGCCAAGACTGCCAAGTGTCTACAGTATCACACCAAGCATCAGTAGTGTCATGCCACGCGTCAGTACTATCACGCCTCGCGTCAGTAGCATTAGTATTGTCCAACTACCATTGTAGTTGGACAATACTAACCGTCCCATCAGTGGCATTGGCAGAGGGGCGCCATCATCAATACCGGATCGCTGGTTCCGATTTTTGAGATGTTGGAAACTATACAGTGTGTTTAGGATAGGGCTAGCGATAATTTAAGGCGATGTTGTGATGTCAATTTTATCGACAAAAATGCCCCCATATGTCCCTCTCCTAAAGCCTGGTCCGTGAGCACGTAGAATCTCGTGATCTCGTCCAATGACCCCAAGCTACCCATCCTTATCGCTCGCGCGTAATTATATTGCTGTCGCGACTGTGCGACGCGCGCCCGCAGTGAGTGTGCGAGCGCGACAGCAACATAATTACGTGCGAGCGACAAGGATGGGCAGCTTGGGGTCATTGGACGGGATTCTACGTGCTCACGGACCAGGCTTTAGCTGCCCTCATCGCTCGCCCTATCCCAAACACACTACCCCAAACGACAGCACTAAATACGTCAAGCGTCAGCATCTCACCACGCGTCAGCATCACACCACTCATCAGCAACGTCCTACAGATATTAGACCTGTGCATCGGCAACCACGACCTGTACATGCGGCGCCGCAAGCCTGACACCATGGAGGTGCAGCAGATGAAGGCGCAGGCCAAGGAGGAGAAGCAGGTGAGCTTCAAACTTCATTTTTTACTAGCGGCCGCCCGCGACTTCGTACGCGTGGATCCCGTTTGACCCCCTTAGGGGTGGAGTTTCGTAAAATCCTTTCTTAGCGGATGCCTACGTCATAACATCTACCCGCATGCCAAATTTCAGCCCGATCCGTCCAGTGGTTTGGGCTGTGCGTTGATAGATCACTATGTCAGTCAGTCAGTCAGTCACCTTTGAGTTTTATATAGATTTAAAATTTATTGCACACAAAAAATGCAGTAGTTTGAAAAGGCTTATTTCTCCTAACGCCGGCTTATAGTTGAATTTTGGGACACGATGTATGTACCATTCTAGACTGCATCTCACTTAACACCAGGTGCGATTGCAGTCAAATACCTGCCTTCATCATCATCATCATTATTTCAACCATAGGACGTCCACTGCTGAACATAGACCTCCCCAAATGCTTTCCATGTTGATCGATTGGTAGCGGCCTGCGTCCAGCGCTTCCCTGCTACCTTTACGATGTCGTCGATCCACCAAATACCTGCCTTGTCATGCATAAAAAAATCTAAGGCCCCCACTGCCTTTTTTATGTGAAATGGTTGGGAAGGCGCTGGAGCATATTGTACAGTTTTTTTATTTCTTTAAACGTTAGTAATGTTATATGTTAATCATTGTAATTGTCATTTACTAGCGTCGACAAATCGAGCGTAACAAGCTAGCGAGAGAGAAGCAACTAAGAGAGGCGGCGGAAAGAGAAAGAGCCGCTATGGAGCAACGCCTGCTACAATATCAGGAAGAGATACGGTTGGCCAACGATGCGTTGGTGAGTATACTAGTCGACTTGACATAAACTTGAATAATATAATATCCATACATATGCTACTGCACGCTACAGCACGGCAGACACTATTGCATTTTACTGCAAATTCGCCCTTATTACAGCTATACTATTATGCTATCGTTTCTACAGAGTCACGGTGGCAGTTTTATGTGCTGTTAACTACTTTATTTAATTGTTGGCCATTCTACACATATTACAGTACTAAAAGAACAGTACAGTACAGCAGCGAGAACTCGCGTGTAAAGAAGTGCTGTTATTCGCCAATATTGAAGGTCCTTTCACTCGCTGATGGCGCCATCTCATAATGTAATAAATGTCTCTACGCGGTGGCGCCAACTGGTGTCTTTATTTAATTTTGACCTAGACATGACGACACACACTAAGTAATAAATTAAGTAAAAGAAAAAGGCCTTATGGGGCTCTTCACATGTGTTTATCTTAGAGGCCCTGCCCGCTTACATACTCTATTGTTACATTTCCAGCGCCGATCAGAAGAGACAGCGGAGCTCCTAGCGGAGAAGGGTCGCGTAGCGGAGGAAGAGGCGTCATTGCTCGCACAGAAGGCGGCCGACGCCGAGCGGGAAAACGCGCGTCTGCGGCTCTCCGCTATCAAGACTGAGGAGGAGAAGGTACGCTCGACCCGTCAGAATCACACTAATATTATAAAGGCAACAGTTTGCGAGTGTGTCTGTTTGTTAGTTCTTCACGTCTAAACGTATGGAGTTAGCTGACACCCTGGATATGTGTGTTACATAGGCTACGTTTTACCGCGGGGCACAGCTAGTAAAATATATTTTCGTTTCTAATGTGAAAATGATAGCTTTTTCAATGCAATATTTTAGAAATCATATTAGTGTTCCACGTGAAAAAAATAAACGTATAAAATTGCGTACTATAAGTCTAGCTCTTAACTGAATTAGTGCCTGATTTATGTACAGCACGGGAGGGGTGGCATTTACATATTATGACGTAATAGTAATAATAGAATAATAGAGCATACAAATGGCAATGCCAGATTTTGTATGGAAAGTGGCGTCTTTTTTTTTTTCGCGCGGCCATCGACCAAACTTTGTTTTTTGATTACAAAATAGTGTAATAAACCAAACTTACTATGGCATGTATACCTCTAAACTCAGTCTGAACTGAGTTACGAGCATTAGAAGTTTAATGATTTTCATACTCGATTTGCTTTTCAACCGACTTCAAAAAAGGAGGAGGTTCTCAATTCGACCCGTATGTTTTTTTTTTTTTCTATGTTTGTTACGCGATAACTCCGCCAATTATGAACCGATTTGAACAAATCTTTTTTCGGCGTATAGGTAATACCTCAAGGGTGGTCCCATTTAAATTTAATAATAGAAAAAACAACCCCCAAGGGTGGAAAATTGGGGATGAACTTTTTTATACGCAATATCTCCGCCGATTATAAATCAATTTGAACGATTATTTTTTTGTTGAATAGGTATTATCAAAAGGGTGGTTTCATGCGAATTTGAAGAAAATATTTCACCCCTAAGGGTGGAAAATTGGGGATGAACTTTTTTATACGCAATATTTTTAATTTTTAGTTTTTTTTGTGTTCACGCATTTGAAGTCGGTTTTATTTTTTTAAAAAGGTAATTATGTATTTATTGTGCGCAAGTTTTGTAAGAAATTGCAACAAAATATTGCGCTATTTTTTTATTGCGCTGATTCTGCTCCATACTGATGTCTGGAGCCTTTAATGGATGGTATTGTTTGTTTACACATACAATCTCACTATTTTGTTGCAATTTCTTACAAAACATTGCGCGCAAAAAGCAAATCTAGTATGAAAATCATCAAACTTCTAATGCTCGTAACTCAGTTCAGACTGAGTTTAGAGGTATACATGTCATAGTAAGTTTGGTTTATTACACTATTTTGTAATCAAAAAACAAAGTTTGGTCGATGGCCGCGCGAAAAAAAAAAGACGCCAATTTCCGGCATTGTCTTTTCAAGTCTCGCTGACGTTTGACTTTCACAAAAACACTCATCCGTGCCGCTCTCATACCTCAGGCACTGACTTTATAAGCAAAATCACTTCGTCATTGATAAAGATTCAAACTGGCTGTAGAAGAAGAATTGCAATATTCACTACTAATAAAAAAACTAATCTAATGAATTCCCAAGAATTATTTGTCTTATTTCGTATACAGGTTCACTTAGAACGCAAAACACGCGAAGCGGAGTTTCTCACCGCTCGTCTAGTCGAGGAATCGGAGAAACGCGCGGCGGAAGCGGAGAGGCTGCGAGCGGAGCTGTTAGCGGCACGCGCTGCGGAGAAGCAGGCTAAGGAGAAGCTACTGAACTTCTTAAGTCGCACGTCTAGTGGGTCTTTACCGCCTGTTAGCGCTGTACAGGTCAGTTGTCTTCTCTAATCTTTTTTTTTAACCACAACGAGGAAGCTCTTGGCCTGTATCTCACCTGATGGTAAGTGACGATCAGGCCGAAGGTGGAAGCGAGCTTCACCCGGAATCCTCAACCACGGAGGAACTGGCTATCTTACCTCTAACTGCCGGAACACAATAATGCTGTTAACATTGTTGTTATGGCGACAGACTTAGATAGGATAGTCGACGCTGATAAGTTATCTTTGCGGTCGTCAGTTGGCGCCATTGTTGAGTGATGACACCTTATTCGATTAAGGCGCCAACTGGTAGGAGGGGATAAGTTGGCTCTTCTGTTGTCGAGCCAACTAATGACTCACTCAAAATAAAGAATAGCGACCGAATTTGTGCCCGTCGAATAATAGACTTGCTCTGGTGGGTACGAAATGCGATAGCCCTTTTATCGTAAAATCGTTCACCAGTAGGCGCCACTATAGCTACTAGCAAGTGGTAGAAACTCACTTGCCAATAGCGCCAACTGATAACGCATTCCCCTATTATAAGACTTTTAACACAGTTTTAATACAAATCAAAAAACCTTTCCGAGCCCCACTCGGGGGCGCCCTTAGGCTTGTTGCTTAAATTTTAAGGTTGAGAGCCATCTGCGCTCACCTATTGTCCGGTGAAGCTGAGAAAGCCGCTAACGGCTATCAGCAGAGTCCTTAATTGATATTTATTGTCCGTGGTGCAGATATTTTCTTGAAGGTTAAACCTTTGTTTGTCACCTCTCATCCGCTTTGCAATGGAGGGAAGTCGAACCTTAATTTCGAATTCCTCTTATGTTCTTCTGATAATTTCGTTGCGGGTCCAATGACAGTTAAACTTTCCCCCGGGACAAACTTGACCTTCATTGGTTGGGTTTTTATTGGCGGTCAAGCTGTAGACCCTGGCTACACAGGAGTTGTAGCGGTGGGAACGAGAGGTGGAAATAGTCCGGTATCAGCAGTCCACCCGAAAAAAAAAGCAAATCAAACCCTAATATTCTACTTATTTACCTAACTTCTGCTCATCTATACAGGGTGTTTCTTGTAAGGTGTCAAGCCGAAAGCAGGTGNATACGTGTAGAGTATTTTTTGATAAGTTAACTGACGGACTAATTAAAACTCTTGCTTTTTGACCCAGGCAACATCCCCATTGGTCAAATAACTGCCTTGTTATGCATAAAAAATGGGATTTATAATTCGGGTGGTTTAATTAAGAATCTCCATTTTATATTTGTTGTCTCGAAGTCCCCCTTGGTTTAATTAGGAATCCCCTTTTATATTTTTTGTCTCTAATGCCCTTTTCCACCATCTATCCCTAATTTTTAAGTGACTCATATGGTAACAAATTGTATGAATTTTGTTTTCATTGGAGTCACTTAAAAATTAGGGATTGATGGTGAAAACGGGCATAAGGCCCCCTTGGTTTAATTAGGAATCCCCTTTTATATTTCTTGTCTCTAAGTCCCCCTTGGTTTAATTAAGAATCCCCTTTTATATTTTTTGTCTTGTAGTCTGAGTGATGTAAATGACTGTCAATGAGTCTTGTAGCCCCTTGATTTGAACTAAAACCCGGTTTGTAAGCACGTAGAATTTTGTCCAATGATCCCAAGCTATCCATCCTTATCGCTCGCGCGTAATTATATTGCTGTCGCGACTGAGAGACGGGCGGCCGCAGTGAGTATGCGAGCGCGACAGCAACATAATTACGCGCGAGCGATAAGGATAGGTAGCTTGGGGTCATTGGCCAAATTCTACGTGCTCATAGACCGGGCTTTAGTCCTCTTTGTGTATTTAGATGATTTTATTTCAAAATCCCCCTTCTATATTTTGTGTTTGTCTTAAAGTCCCCCATGGCTTAATCAGGAATCCCCTCTATCAGTCTAGGTTGGTACATATCTTCCCTGTAAGTGCCTATTCACTCTCGCCTTGAAGAGGGCCGGATTATAGATTTCGGGAAAGACAGCAGCAGGCAACGAATTCCAGTCCCTAGCTGTTCGCATTATAAAAGAGTATTTAGATAACATATTTTATTTTGAAATCACTCTTGTTAAAATGTCCGTTTTATATTTAGTTTTTGCTATCTCAAAGTCCCCCTTGGCTTAATCTGGAATCCCCCTTTTATGAGAATATTTTTGTAGTCTCTATTCATGGTTTTGAAAGGTTTGCCGCAGTCTTACATACATTATAATTAAACTATATCCTTGAATATTGTTCCGGTAGCATGCTTTTAATTGCATAAAGTTATCTTTTCATGTCATAGAGATAAAAATCATATTGTATACAATCATTATGGTGGTGGTAGCTTCATTTGATGCTTTATTTATTTGATAAAACGCTTAAACACATTTTTAGGACTGTAAATATGTAGTTCGTTATTGACATATTTTATTTTTCGTATATGTATATCTGAATAAAATTCAACGTAATATATCATTTATTTATGCTTGGGTAATGGGTATCATCGCTGTACTATATGGATAACATGAAGGATAATATTTTTTTTTATCAAAATGTATGTGTTATTTATTCACTAGTCACTGACCTGTGCAAATCACACAAAGCCACAAAAAAGGGTTAAGTAACGAAACGGCAGCGCCGTTGAACAATCACGAGCACAAGAATGTATACACTACTTAATTCCCCTGTAAATAAATTTCAATGAGAACGTGTATACAGGGTGGAAACGATAAGTGATCTCACTCGATAATTTATAAACCATACAAGATATCGAAAAACTGGTTACTGACCCTGAAAGTGCTTTACGAACTCTTTCAAACGGCACCAATAACAGGTTACAGAATAAACTGGAAGTATCTGAAAATTTAATGTTTCCAGCTTCCATACTAAATGTATGCCAACCACACAATATTAAGTGTAATTTGTTAAAATTAAATAATGAACCTAAAAAAAACTCGTAAATTGCATTTTTATTTAAAATTATTCAAGGAAAAAATTAGTTTTAGGCTTTACTTGCTATAAAGTGTTGTATCAAGTATCAAGAGATGAGTGCCATGACTGTGGTAGTACTAAATGTATGGGGGATGGAAACATTGGATTTTTGGATAGATCCAGTTTATTCTGTAACTTAATATTGATACCGTTGTATAGAGCTCGTGAAGCACTTTTAGGATCAGTAACCAGTTTTACGATACCTTCTGTAGTTTTTAATATTATGAGGCTGTACCAAATGTATGGAAGCCGGAAACATTGAATTTTCGGATAGATCCAGTTTATTCTGTAACCTGTTATTGGTGCCGTTTGAAAGAGCTCGTAAAGCACTTTCAGGATCAGGAACCAGTTTTTCGATATCTTGTATGGTTTAGAAATAATCGAGTGAGATCACTTATCGTTTCCACCCTGTATATTTTTGCATGGGGCCATAGGTGGGGCGCCGTTTGTACAGCGGGCCGCAGTTCCAGCTACCAATTTCCATTTTTTACTTCGCTCTCATCAAGTGATAATTCATTGCGTAATAAAACTAGACTGATATGACCGGAAATAGGTAGCTGGAACTGTGGCTCACTGTACAGTCACGAGCACAAAAATGTATACACTATTTAATTCCCGTGTAACATGGTTTAAAATTTGACGGCGTGTATATATTTTTGCCCGTGGCCATAGGTGGGAGCACGACTACGGCTCCCGGCGCGGCTCGGCCGACGCGGGCGCGTGCGAGCTACAGGACGACCCGCACATACACCGCCTGTCGCTAGAGATCGAGCGCGAGAGGTCAGTGCGCACAGAATTTATAAAATCATCATCACGTCTTTTAGACAGTAGCCTAACAAAACTTCAACGACAACAAAACACTGAGTTGCGATCCTATCGAGTAATCGTTCTATCAAAATGACCCTTGTGAATACGGATTTTGAACTGTTTTTCAATGGGACGACTTCTGAACGTTATCAAGATCGTGACTGTCAAAATACGTGAATTAGGCCACAAGTTTCCATTGGAAGAGCTCGAACCTCTCTATTTTACCAGATTCAATTATTTTACGAAATGTTATAAGTATGAAGTGATACAGGCAAAAATTGACAATCTACAAGTGAAGTTACCACCACTAGTTTAACAAATGCCTAAAAAGTGATTAGCTATGTAGATGTTTCATAATGAATAGGAATTATTGTGTGTCTAAGATAGGTAATTAATAATTAAGTAAAGTAAAGTATTTCCGTCCAATTAATTTGTAGTGGTTTTTTTAAGAGCTGATGAAGCTGCTTTTTCTTTAAGTCGCATCAGGTGCCTGAGGCTATTGATTTAAGCCACCAACATACCCACTTCAAGCAAAATTATTTGTTAACTGGCAACTTTGAGTGTAGCACTCAAAATTTCAACTCATATCAACGATAGAACGATTCTACAATCCATATTAATGTTTCCAGAGTGGAATACCTAGCCAAATCGAAGCATCTCCAACAACAGTTAGACGAGCTTCGCTGCGAGTTCTCAGTGCTTCGAGTGGACCAGTCCGTGGCCACACTAGACCGATTGCACGAGCAACAGGCGCGGGCGGGCGACAACAAGTACTCCACGCTGCGCAAGCTCAAGCAGGGCTCCACCAAGACCAGGGTCGCCTTCTACGAGGAGCTGTGAGGTGAGAAACGACACTATTGACAGCTATAGTCTGGTCCGTGAGCACGTAGAATTTTGTCCAATGACCCCTAAACTCTGATTTTTAATTCGACGGAATTTTGACATTTCAGAAGTGTTGCCAACATTGAAACATTCCCACTAAGAATGGAGAGCATTTTCACAAATTAAAAAATAATCCTTTCTTCAATTTAAGGTTTCACTTGAAAAACTAAAGCTTAAAAATGTACTGATCATTTCAAAATGGTTATTTGAATTTTTATTATCATATTTTTGAAGTTACAAAAAAAAAATCGGGAAATTATTTTTCTATTACTGGACTCCCTGGCCAATAATCCATGGTTTACAAACCTTTTTTATGAAAATCCTTTTGTTAATAAAATCTTAGCTTCATAAAATAATCAATTTAACAAGATGCCAATTTTATAATCCAAGTTGATTATGATGACGATAATGATGATTGATGATCAAAACATATTTTCGTTTATGATAATAAATGTTGTTTTACCGTGTTAAAAACACGTTTTTTTCTATTTAATCTCTAAAATGTACATAATAAATAGTGTACATTGAATTCACAAAACAAACAATAGTTCATTCTTGTAAGTTGTACTTGATGAAATTTCATTTCATATTATTTATTAATAATTCAAAGCAAAAAAGGCTTATTACATCTGAATTGTCAAAAAATGACAGCTGTTAGAATTCCGTCGAATTAAAAATCGGACTATAGCTACCCATCTTTATCGCTCGCGCATAATTATTTTGCTATCGCGCTCGCACACTCACTGCGGGTGCCAGTCGCACAGTCGCGACAGCAATATAATTATACGCGAGCGATAAGGATGGGTAGCTACGGGTCATTGGACAAAATTCTACGTGCTCACGGACCGGGCTTTAGCCACCCATGGAAGCCAGGGGAACTACACGCTACGAACTTAGCGTGCCTCCACCGAGAACAGAGTCGCTATTAGTAGCCAGGCCAGGAATACAGTCAGCGTCAAATAGTTCGTGACACCCAAAGTGGACAAGAAGTTGACAACACAACATTATACCAATGAGGGCTATCGTTTTAGCGCTCACCAGTTGGCGCCACTGTAGAGTAAGGTCCTGTCACTTGCTAGTAGCGAAGACAGTGGCGCCGGCTGGTGAGCGCGAAAGTGGTAGGAGGATTATCGCATTTGCGCTCATCAAGGTGGCGCCACTGTAGATTAAGGTCCTGTCAATCGCCAGGGGTGCCAACTGTTAAGTATAAAAACGATAGCCCTCATTGTAACAAAGACGTGTTGCGAACTTTTTGGCTACTTTGGGTGTCTCGAACTATTTGACGCTGCTAGATCAAGGACGGCTCCACCACGACCAGGTCGCCTTCTACGAGGAGCTGTGAGGTGAGAATCGATGCTATACGCTAATAACTGGTCTATCAGGGTAGCCAAGGAAACTACACGCAACGAGCTCAGCAGGATTACGAAGAGCTGAGGTGAGAAGCGACGCTATATCTGACAGCTGTCAGCCAGGGAAAGTACACGCTACAAGCTCAAGCAGGGCTCCACCAAGACCAGGGTCGCTTTCTACGAGGAGCTGTGAGGTGAGACCCACAGCAGTTAGTCAGGAGTACTTTACGCTCCGAGCTCAATCAGGGTTCTACTAAGACCGGCCTTCTACGTGGAGCTGTGAGGTGAGACTGTCACTCTACACTGACAGCTGACTAGCCAGGGCAGCCAGGCTTAAGGCTACGAGCATAGCATGCCTCCACCACCAAGACTAGGGTCGCCTTCTACGAGGAGCTGTGAGCTGAGAATCAACGCTATACAAAAATAGTTGTACAGTCAGGGAAACTCCACGCTGCTAGCTCAAGCAGGGCTGCACCAAGACCAGGGTCACCTTCTACGAGGAGCTGTGAGGTGAGACCCACAGCAGTTAGCCAGGAGTACTTTATGCTGCGAGATCAAAGAGCTCTTACGAGAAGCTCTGTGCTGAGCTGTGAATTTCCCCCGCTGCCCGCTGATGGCAACTGAGAATTCACAGCTCAGCACTTTATTTTTTTTTAACTGTGTCATTCTCCCCCATTTGCAGCAATTTATTTTAATGAATTGTCTCAGTCTCCCCCTTTTGCAGCATTTTTTTTAATTGTCTCAGTCTCCCCCTTTCGCAAAAAACGAATTAAAACAAAGTAGTGGTCTGCGTTTTACATTATTGTAAATATGAGAGTGAATAGGCACTTACAGGGCAGATAATATGTACCATCCTAGACTGCATCTTACTTAAAACCAGGTGTGTGTGATTGCGGTCAAATACCTGCGTTGTCTTGCATAAAAAATAATAATTAAAATTATACAGATATTTAGAAACCACTGTCTGAAACCAAATAAAAATAATTTCTCTTATTTTCAGATGATGAAATCATCAGGAAAATGCCATTTTACAAAGTGCTGCTGCGCACAAAGTGATCCAAATGACAATTAAATTGACATTTATGTTTAGTCAACAAAGTTAGTATAACGTTATGTTGCTACC